ATATCGCTGCGAGCTCTTTAATACGTCGAGTGCGCTGACCACAGATGGAGAGGCTGACCACCGGCTTAGGACACCCGAGTTACATAAATGTCGCGGAGCACAGGTCTCGCGCTTTCTCGTGGCTCGCTCGAGCGAGTCGCATTGGCGGCGGTTTACATTCGAGCGTGCGCATCTCGTTAGCGCAGCGCCAGCAGGTCGGGCGACGACGGTGCTTTCACGCGCTGCCGCCGGGGATAAACATAGGCCAAACACCGCGGCAGCAGCGCGGGAGTAGCGCCGATCGACCGGGCCCCAGGCGAAGCGGGAGGGCCTCCGGAGATGAGGCCGCTTCCCGTTGCATTGTTGTACGCGTTCGCACGCCATGTATGCGCGCTGTGACCGCTCCCCCGAAAGCGCACACACCTTCTCTCACGCAGAAAAAAAGAGCATCATTAAAAAAAAAAACTCTATAATAAACTCGCCGACCAAGCAGTGGCGTAGTGATGAATAAACTTTATTTTCGTATCCGGCATGTTTGTGGTCCGGGCTAAACCGCACAAGGAGGTACCGGGAGACCTTGTCATTGTACAGCCTCCCTGGCCTGCTGGATAGCCCATTTTTGGTCTTGAACCTCCGAGCTGAGCAGCACAAGTTGCCACTGCTCCCGGAGGACCTCAGGAGAACTTGTTGATAAGCTGGGGCATTACCATAATATATGTTTGTAAGACGCCTTTTCTGTTACAGATAGCTTACATTTATTGTCCGGGTATAAGTTTGGGTAGGTATGGCGTAGTGAGGATTTTTTTTTTTTTCGGAGGGTATATCATTTTGATTTGAGGGGATGGGGCACCTCCTTGAAATGGTCATTTCTCGCTGTGCATGTCATGGCGAAAAAAAAAAAAAACTGAGGAAGAGGGGCTAAGCCCGGGTCTTCTACCCCCTGGCTACGCCACTGCACCCAAGCATACGCGCGGGAATATCTTCTTTTCTTTTCTTTTTTCCCTATACGCCTTTCGGGCTGTCAGTAAATACTCCGTACCAGTGCCGGTTAATCAGCGAAGCTGGAACGGGCGGCTCTGACGTTTATGATTGGGTCGATGCCGAAGGTTCATCATAGTCTTTTCCGATAAAAAGCGTGTGAAAACGGGGAACAAAAGAAAACGCAAAGACGCAAACACTGCCTGACAACTGACAGTTTGTTAATAAAACCACAGCACATGACACAAAATCACTTAGGACATCACGTGGCAAGCTCTTATCACCTTCATGACGCAATTATTCGAAAGGGCCCCATTGAAAACCTCAGAAAATACAAATAAAGATCAATTTATTATTTCTTGGCAGTTTTCATCGTTTAAACACTATTCGTGACTGCTGCAGTCTGTTCACGTGGCATCATGAGAAAATGAGTCCTCAATCAGTACATATGCGAGGGGTATAAACATTGAGTTGTATTCCATGCCTTATTTTTTTCGTTTACTCGCAAGTCCATCAAGCGCGAGCAGTAGTGTGCTCTTTTGGTGACGAGCCGAGATGTCTACGGGACGGCTTTAAGCTCTTCCATAGTATAGTACCTAGTACTCTAAATCGTTAACCACTTTTTCTAAACGTAGTTTATGCTCTCCCATAGTAGAGTACCTAGTACTATAAATCGTTGCCCACTTTTTCTAAACACACATGGTTATCGAACTCGATCAGCCGATTTCACTTCGTTTTGTGATGGCCATCTCGGCTCACGCAAGAAGCACTCGCTCCCGTCTCTCGTATTTTCGAACTTTTGGGTTCCCAACTATAGCTTCCAGGTTGAAAAACAAAATTAGGATTACTACCTGAAAGTTTCGCCTTTACGGAACCGCTTTTTTTGAACATCTTCGCCGTTGAAAGGGGGCAAATGCATTCAAAATATATGGGCGTTCACCGGAGACTCCAGCTTGCTTTATTGCTGCAACAATTTAGTTCTTGAAGGCTTTTTTTTTTTGTTGAGTGGTTCAACTGTATCCCCAATCTTGTTAACAAGTCGAACACGCTCTTTTTGTCAGCAAGAAAGCCACTGTGACAGGGACGTAGCCAGGTCAGCACACCAAGCCCGTGCCTTCACCCCACCCCCCCCTTCCCCGAAACTTTTTTTCTCGCCCTGGCATCACCCCGCCGCGGTGGTCTAGTGGTTAAGGTACTCGGCTGCTGACCCGCAGGTCGTGGGTTCGATTCCCGGTTGCGGCGGCTGCATTTCCGATGGAGGCGGAAATGTCGTAGGCCCGTGTGCTCAGATTTTGGTGCACGTTAAAGAACCCCAGGTGGTCAAAATTTCCGGAGCCCTCCACTACGGCGTCTCTCATAATCATATGGTGGCTTTGGGACGTTAAACCCCACAAATCAATCAATGAATCAATCTCCCTGGCATTGCGATCGAAAATTGACCGTTTCAAGGTGGTGCCCATCCTAAAATCAGAGATGCCCCCCGCCTCCCCTCCCAAAAAAAAAATTTCTGGCTACGCACCTGCGCGGTGGTGTCATCGTTTCCGTGTGCTATAATTTTTCATCTTTCGCCAGCCTACACCACTTGTCAACATTTCGCGGATCTTCTTTGAAGAAATTTCTTCTAGGCTGTAGGAATCTAGTGATGTCACTGTTCTTTTAAGGCCGCAATCTATAACGCAAAGCAACTTCTTCATAAAGAACAGAACAACACAGAGTGTGTGAATTATATATATATATATATATATATATATATATATATATATATATATATATATATATATATATATATATATATATATAACTGCTCCAAGCAGCAGTTTAGTTTCCGCCGCGTGCCTGCTGAACTACACAGTCTCCATCTTTGATGGTGCATTGCCATGCCGAGTTTCTTCAGCAGTAGATACGATGCTCAACAATTTCGTTTCGACACTGGGCGTATAGGCTGTGCACGTGCCTTCAGAACTGTGTGGGCGCCTAGGTCGCTTCTTTGGCGACCACGTTTCGCCCATAGTGAATGTGGCTCTAAGTAGGTCGGTTTCGACTTGCAGCAATGCACGTGCAATGTTCATTGATATGTGGAGGTTAACGTCCCAAAACCACCATATGATTATGAGAGACGCCGTAGTGCAGGGCTGCGAAAATTTCGAACACCTGGGGTTCTTTAACGTGCGCCCAAATCTCAGCACACGGGCCTACAGCATTTTCGCCTCCATTGAAAATGCAGCCGCCGCAGCCGGGATTCGGTCCCGCGACCTGCGGGTCAGCAGCCGAGTACCTTAGCCGCTAGACCACCGCAGTGAGGTTGCACGTGCAATGTAACAAAACTCAAACATGGTGGAGGCTGCTGAACACGAAGAGCTTTAGCCGCTGCCCGCGTGCTGGCATAAAACTTGCTACAATGGGATGCACAAACGATCTGTTGTCCTTCATTATTCCGACGCAAAAAAAAAAATCGACACATGCATCTGGTGGTGTTAGCGGTGGTGGTACGTAATAATGGATGGTTTCCCTCTCATGCATTATAAGTACTGGATTTGTGTATTCTTCAAGGAAATGAAAGTGCAGTAAAGTAATAGACACTTGTTTATAATTTTTCTTGATACTTTCGATAATTCGGAATTCGGTTATTGCGAACATTTTTTTTTCTATAGTCTCATAAGATCCCAATGAACGAGTTTTCGAGAAGCTGAGGACTGCGATTATGCCGGGGCAAAGGGGAACGCCTCAACCCATAGGCCTGGGCAGGGTTCCTCATCAAAGGGGGTGAAAATTCATCGCAGTGCCCCCTTCCCTATTAAGTCAAAGTATGGGGCAGATTTCGCACCCCCTCCCCTTTTGCGCGATAAGGGGAAGGGGGGCTCTCCCTTGCCTTGGAAGACCTTTCCTTGGAAGGCCTTGCCTTGGGTGCCTTGGGACGTCACTCTCACTCAAGCTTAAAAATCATAAGGTTATCTGAATCAGGCTGGGCGCACAGCAAGGGCCATGGGAGTGCTGGACTAGGGATCCACCCTTGTAGCTGCCTTATGTATCTCATTTATTGATTAATATTTCTAATCAATCAATAAATAAAAAACGAAAGAGCCAGTAACCATTCCTTTGGCCTCACACTTGATGAGGCCACATCAACAAAAATTACGCTCGGGCCGGGCCCGGGCTGGTGACGGCGACTGCACGTCAATGGAGATGTGGGTTTACAAAAATGTGGTAACATTTTAGAGTGCGAGGTACTCGACCATGAGAGAGCATAAAGCCATCTCATGGGCCTCACACTTTATGAGGCCGTGGCGACGAAAATTACGCCGTGCATTTATAAAAATGCATTGGTCACAGATGTCAATAACATTTCAACACAACATTTTCTTGTTAGACGTACATTAACGGTGATGACAAAAGATACTTCATTTACATGAACATGGATATGAGACAACGTGTGTTTGTGTGTTCAGAAAAAACTGTTTAACAATTTCGAGTACTTCGTACTCAACTATGCGAGAGCACTGAGCTGTCCCGCTAAAGGCATTGGGCGAATATCCTTGGAAAGATGTCCGTCAATGGAGTTCTTATACAAAACATGAGTGTACATCAGAAAGTCTGATATACAATCGTGGTAACCTAAAAGAAGGCCCAGGTAACAACGATACTTTCACCTGAGCGCTTTACAACAACTGAAACCAGGTTCTACTATCATGTTCTCTTGATTGCACAGCAACGCGCCGCTCATGGGTCTACTAGTCGCGCAGACCAAATAGGTGACGTGTACAGGACATTATTTTATGTGCCACTTCATCTACCACTTTCACCTCATTTTGACAAACACTTATGTGGCGAAAGAGGGGGAAAGGTTCAAGAGAGTAAAACGCAGCTTTTCGGACTTATCACTGTAGCTGAACCACATGCAGGTAGCCCCTTCCAACAAACGCTTTAAGTGCAACACACCTTCGCAACAGCGCCCAAGTGCGCAGATCGTTTGACGTTGATTATATAGCCGTAGCGTCGAAGGGACACGGGTTGGCACACAATGAAACGCTTGTTTTTGTTCTGTTCTTGTGCGCAGTACGGGTTCGTGAACCACGCCTTGGAGCTGCTGGTCCTGAGAAAGTTTGGCGCCGAAACATGGGAGCAAATAAAGTGAGTACAAGAACAGCCCGGCACTGTATTACACGCAAAGGGCCGGTACGGCATCGAACTGCCAGCGTTTCCCGCCCTTGTCTGCGCTCTGTGTATACTTCAGCGAGGGCCCGCCCCAGTGACCCCTCCTAACACTCTTTGGAACAAGGTCGCTAATGGACGATCCACGTGCATGGCGCTGTATCGACCTTGAACTGTTAAATGGAAGTTGGCGGGCACTCTGAATGAATCTGCTCGGCAAAAAACACACTTGAAAAGATGCCATACCGAGCTCGTCGAAGTGCGCCTGCGGTTGAACGAACAAAGGAGGCGTACTAAAGCAAGCTGGTCCGTCATCCAACTGTTTTAGCCACCGCAGTTCTTTAGGCGAGTGAGAGTAATGAATTTTCTCGTTATAGAACGCTACCCGCACTGACCGGTATAGCAGCCACGCGTGTCGATATTGCGCGCATAAAAACAAACTGCCGTAAGCCGAACAATGGAAGGGTTTAGACGCGTGATGCAACGGTTTGTGTTGCTGTTTCGTGCACGTGCCTTGCGATGGCGCCATTCGCGCCCTTTGTTTGGCGGTTCAAGTTCGTGCAAACGTGCTCGACGCCGAATGTTTGTGCTCGTACGGCTTCTGACTCTCGGAGAGGCGTGTGTATCAAAACAAAAACGTGTTCGCGATGCCATACGGCGATGGATAAGAACCCGCTTCGGCCACCATTGTCCACAGCACAATGTCCCACAGATAAGGGTTGCCTTTGGGAATAGGAGCCAGAGCTCAAAGCGAAACTAGTCAAAAATAGCCGTGCCATTTATTTTTTTCTCTAAGTCGGTAAACAAGTGAAACAGAAGCGGTATTCTTAAATAATTTTTACTTGAAAAATAATGTTTTCACATTTAATGAGCAAAACCAAAAATAAAACCACAGTTCGCCCCCCTCCTTCCTTTTGCTTAATCTTCAAGACAAGTCAATAAATGAACAACTTGGAGCAAATCCAGGGCAGCCAGGTGAGTAGCCAGGAAGTTTTTTTCGTGGGAGGTGGGTTGGCACCTCCTTGGTTTCGGGGAGGGAATCGCCTTGAAATCGTCATTTCCCGCTGTCTATGCCATGGTGAAAAAAATTGGGGGGACGAGGGGGGGGGGCACGGTTCTGGTCTGCTTGGCTACGCTCCCGAGTTCGGCTGCATAGTTTATGTAAAGAAGACAGACATTTAGGGGCGAAGCTCCTTAGGGCGTGGGCTGTGCGTCCCCTGTAGCCTGTATGTAGCCACCTCTAGTTTAGTTCTTGCAGTGTTCACTAGATGGCGGTACCGTCCCCTGTATGTAGCCACCTCTAGTTTAGTTCTTGCAGTGTTCACTAGATGGCGGTACCGTCTCCTGTATGTACCGTCTCCTGAATCTAATTAGACTCTTTGAGCTAGAGCTTGCTAAGACGCGTGACAAGTCACCCCGGAAAAGAAGACACAAACCCAAAAGTTGGTGGGATGAGGAAGTTAAGAGAGCCATAGCAAAACGTCAGGAAGCCTCTAGGGAACACAGACATGCTAAGCAGCGGGGTGAACCGACAGATGATGTTGAAAGAAAATGGGCAACCTTTCTAAGCTGTAGAAGGGATGCATCCCTTCTGATCAATGAAAAGATTAGAAGGAAGGGAGCTCAGTGGCTGGCAGAAGTACATAAAAAAGATAGAAAGGCAGCTGCGAAATTTTGGAACCATCTAAACTCCCTAAGAAATGAGACGAGCCTAGAGCAGAGATTTATAACTACAGCCCAAGGTGCTAGGCTAGAAGGGGACGAAGCTATTGAATATATAAGAACAAAAGTGACAGAAAAATTTCAACAAAGAAGTACTTTATGCACCACAATAGACAAGGACGAATCAAGTGGTGCAATGGCTCCATTTTCACAACAAGAGTGGGTAAGGGCTGAGAAAAGGGTTCCTAGTAGTACATCAACAGGCCCAGATGGCATTCCAATTAGGCTGATAAAGACATTAGGCCCGAAGTCTAAGCAGGCTTTGAGAGAGGCAGTGAGCACAATAATAATCGATGGTGAAGTTCCCGACGGATGGAAACTTAGCAGGATGAGCATGATCTATAAAGGAAAGGGGGACAAAGCTGACATAAACAACTACCGTCCTATAACAGTGACATCAGTGGTCTACAGGCTGGCGATGCAGATTATAAAGGAAAGACTGCAGGCGTGGATAGAGGATGAGGGGGTGCTGGGGGAACTGCAGAATGGGTTTCGGAAACACAGGAGGTTGGAAGACAATCTGTTCTCACTGACGCAGTGCATAGAAATAGCAGAAAAGGAACACAGGCCCCTGTGGCTAGCATTTTTGGATATCAAGGGAGCGTACGATACCGTGGTTCAAGAGGAATTGTGGGGAATACTGGACACACTAGGCGTGGAACATGTAGTCACTAATCTTTTAAAGGGTATCTATAAAGGTAACAAGGTAGTTATAAAGTGGGAAAAACAGGTATCCAAGCCTGCAGAGGTAAAACGGGGGCTTAGGCAGGGGTGCCCCCTGTCCCCCTTATTATTCATGATGTACCTACAAGGATTAGAGGCAAAATTAGAGGGAAGTGGACTGGGCTTCAACCTCTCTTTAGTCAAACAAGGAAAACTTATTGATCAGGCACTACCAGCATTAATGTACGCAGATGATATAGTGCTAATGGCCAACAACAAGGAAGATTTGCAGAGATTGATGGACATCTGCGGTAATGAGGGAGATAGGTTAGATTTCAGATTCAGTAAGGAAAAATCAGCAGTCATGATTTTCAATGACAACGAAGGTAGTGAGCTTAGAATACAGGAGGTCACGCTAGAGATAACAGATAAATACAAATATCTGGGCGTATGGATAAGCAATGGGACCGAGTATCTGAGGGAACACGAAATATACGTGACGACTAAAGGTAACAGGAATGCAGCAGTCATGAAAAATAGGGCACTTTGGAATTACAATAGGTATGATGTTGTGAGAGGAATATGGAAAGGGGTCATGGTTCCTGGGCTGACGTTCGGCAATGCGGTCTTGTGCATGAGATCAGAAGTTCAAGCAAGATTAGAAATTAAGCAACGTGGAATAGGTAGGCTTGCTTTAGGAGCTCACGGGAATACACCAAATCAGGGAGTACAAGGTGATATGGGATGGACATCATTTGAGGGCAGGGAAGCTAGCAGCAAGATAAAATTTGAAAAGCGATTGAGAGAAATGGGGGAAGAGCGTTGGGCTAGGAAGGTTTTCAGCTACTTGTACATGAAGAATGTCGATACAAAATGGAGGAAGCGAACCAGGAAGTTGACTGGTAAATACTTAGAAAACAGCAGGTGGCCAAACCAAAAAGAACTATCGGTTAAGAAGAAAGTGAAGGAAACGGAGACTGACATGTGGAGAATGGGCATGATTAAGAAGTCCGCACTAGAGGTCTACCGAACGTTTAAGCAGGAAATTGCCAAGGAAAGGATCTATGATAATACTCGGGGTAGTTCTCTACTGTTTGAGGCCAGAACGGGAGTACTGCGAACCAAGACATATCGGGCCAAATACGAAGGGGTAGACACAATATGCAGTGCGTGTGGAGAGGAAGAAGAAACTGCCGAACACTTGATAATGTTCTGTAAAGGGCTTCACCCTATAATTCAGGATGATGGCGCAGAGTTTTTCAAAGCACTGGGGTTTAGGGACCGGGAGGGCAAAATAAACTTTAAGCGGGTAGACTTCACTAGAAGGAGGTTATCTGATTGGTGGCTAAAGTCAAGGCGCGAGTGAAAATTAAACTCTTCACTGCAAAGTACGAATCCTCAAACTTTTTTTTAAGGAAAAATAAATAAATATAGTTTTTGGTTCATTAGATATTACGGCTTGGTGGCGCTAGCCACCGCCCGATCTAAAGGGTACAGCCATATCCATCCATCCATCCATCCATCCATGTAGCCACCTCTCGTTTAGTTCTTGTAGTGTTTACTAGATGGTGGTACTTGTAGCTGATGATGAAAAGATGCAAGATGTTATAAACTAGAAAGCGGTACTTGTAGTTGATGAAAGACGCGAGATGTTATAAAATAGGAATGATGTCACATATGGCGCGTGTCATTTGTTGAAGGCAATCGTTCGATTTAGTGCGGCGACGTACGCTAGGGGGAGCGATGTAATAAAATCGAGTGGGCAAAATGTACAGAGGATTCATGGTTTACCAGGTTTACCTCCGGAGCTTCGCCCACTCATCATCATTCACTTCGTGGATATGGCGGAATTTTTTTTTGCCATAGACAGTAATTTGGGAACACTCAAGCCAACGAACTAATAGAAATATTAAACTTTCAAGCATTTCTTTCATGAAGCCACTCACCAAAGTTGTTTAGTAGTGTTACCATAACACCGCTACAGCTTTAGTAAGGGAAATCTTGTTGAAGATGAACAGCCCATCTTCATTTTGGTGCGGACCTGTGTTTTTTTTTTTCAAGTTGCCACATGAACACGCACTCAGCTTCAGCATTAGAAAGTGGTCCTCAGCTTCAGCTGTGTATGTGGCGGGCCGCGAGAGCAGAGAGCGAGGCACATGTTCACCAACATGCCCCCAACTTTCGTCATTTCGTTTTTGGAAGCACACCGCACGTTGCGTTTGGGTACCTCAATGGGCTCCAGCATATGGGGCTGAAGAAATAGGCGCGCATCGAATGACATGACAGAAAAGATTGGAAATGACCTATTTTATCAGAATAATCATTGGTAAAATGTAATGGGTATGATCAATAAGTATCAGCCTAATACTAAGTAAAACAATAAGTAAATCCTGCAAGTGGATACTCTATGCAGCCTTACACGTTTATAAGTACTTTATTTGTTTGATTTTCGTTACCGAGACACCTTTTTCCAACATAGAGTGTCCTTACTGGTTGTTTTGCCGGGTCATAGTTTTTCGAAACTTCTGCGGAAAACATTACATACATGAACAGCAGGGGTATGTGTATGCAGAAATGTTTTTTCGGGGGCAATTAATGCTTCATTCATAGCCTTTAATCAGCCGTTAACTTAAATCTACGTATATATTATACGCCTTGAACCGCTCCAGTAAAAAGAAATCAAGCAAAAAAAATAAAACATTACATTGCGTTGAATTTGCAATCTTGGTCCGGACGATCTCGCATCTCAGAATTGCTGAAGCGTTCGAAGGCGTGGAAATCTTTTATTTCTAAAGCTTTGAATATAGCACTGCTATTGTGAAAACGGTATACCGTGGAACCTATAATAGATGTGCATGCATATTGGGGGAGAAACATTTGCGTCAAATAAATTTCAAACATTTTAAAAATTGCTCTTCTGCAATTAACGAGTGAGCCACGGTTGCCGTTGCATTTCTCTTTTCTCTTACCACTTCCTTCGATACGTCTATTTCAAAGAGCAAAAAGAGATAATGCGTAGGATGCTACACCGATTAGCAGCAACAGCGCAGTGACTCCCTTTAGATTGCTCCTAGCTCCGGCAAAATAAAACAAAACAGTAAGTAATCTTCGTCGGTGTAATCAAAGAGCTTGATTTCTCTCGGTAATGTTGTGTGAAATCTGAAAGCGGCATCAAGATGGTGGTAGTGGTTAGAAGATGAGAAAAGGCACCTAATTTCTGCAACCCAGTCGGGAGCACGGCGCAGTGCCTTCAAGATGGGCAGAGCTTAAACGGGGTATATGGCGGAAGCTCCCCCTCTCCCCTCCACCCTCCTATGTCCGCCTAGGTGCTACTCTGGCGTGAGCTACCGTGTTAAAGGTATACCTACTTGTCACTATGGTTCTGTAAAGCGGTAGCTGAATCTTTTTGGTAAAGACAGGTATTCTTACATGTTTCTGAGAGTGACTGGTGTTGTATTGTTTCTTTCTCTTTGCTGCTTTCGATTTCCGAGTGCTATTCTGATCAATTTGTTTCGATCGCACTCTCATCTTGGTGGCAATAAATGATGGCGTAATCGTCCTGCATGCATTTCTCGGGTGTCTTTTTATTACCGGCCAGGTTGCAGCCGCTTGAAAGGAAATGCGAGCAGGAAAGCGCGTAGATGCCGCACTTTTTTGCTTTTTTTTCCATCGCGATTCCATAGTGAGCAGCTCGACCGAATACAGTCACAAATTGCCGAGAAATTTATTTTTATCAGACGTAGTGGTCGTTAAATTTGTTCACTTTGTATGCACGTAACGACACCATGGCAAATGTAAATGGTGTAAAGGCAGCAGAGCTGACGCACTTCTCACGGACCGTTTGGCTCGGAACGACAATATGAACGCGCCCCGCACATACAAACGATGAAAACGAGCTCCCTAACAAAAAGCGAATGGGGGATGGGGATGTTACACTCAGGCCAACGACGCACGGTCTCGTAGGCGGCGTTGCTGTCGCGATTAATGAGTCACGCGCACACGCTCGAACTGGAGCGCGGGCGGCCGATGGCAGCCAAAGCGGAGGCGCTGTAATTACGGAGCGCACCGTTGCTTCTCTTGTGCGCGCGGAGACATTATAGCCCACGGCGGGCACGGTCATCCACGTTCTGTCCGACAGGCATATGTATATACCCTGCATGCGTACCCGTGTTATGTATGTGCGTGTATATAGATATATAGAAGAGGCAAGTATTCGGTTATATCGTCGGGGGAGGTCCTCCGTGGACCGCGAGTCTTTTTCTGCGCGGCACTCGTGCAAAGGAAACAAGTGATAAGCGAGAAAGAAAGTGCGTACACAGCGAGCTTCACTGGGGCGCGGTCATTGTGTGACACTTCGCGGAGCGTCCTTGCGCGCCTGCTGGATGAAGTCAATGTGCGAATTATCTAAGCGCACGAGATGGGCTCTTTCGTGAGGCGCACGGCCTCGAAAACGTCTATCGTTGGTGCGCACTCGTTTTTGTTGACACCCTTTGCGTTTTGTTTCGTACGCGGTATATGTATAGAGGGGAAGGAGAGAGATTGGCTCGGGCACTCTCGTTCGCTCACCGCGGTTAGACCTTTCCCCGTTGCCGATCACAAGTGAGAGATAAAAGACTCGAAGCGCGCCGTTGCGTGACCGTTTATAAACGTCGTTAATCGCAACCGTGGCCGAGTGTGCAGTTTGTGCTTCGCTGTTCTTCGGATGTGTATTCTTTTATACCCCGCTGGAGATGACACGACGCAGAAGAAGCGCGCAGTTCTGCTATAAGCGAGTGATAAAGAACAACAGTCGTGTGAGATCGGTAAAGATAAGCCGCGGACACAAGCTTGGGGAAAGCGCTGCTTGTTGATAATGAAAGTTGGAGGTCTCACAGAGCGAGCAATTGCACAGCAGGACTGGTTTGGCGTGGTCGTATATCTATTAAAAAAAAACAAAAACAACCCAAGATATCAGAAACACTCTAACTAAAGCGTGTGATTGTTGTTGTTGTTGTTGTTGTTGTTGTTGTTGTTGTTGTTGTTGTTGTTGTTGTTGTTGTTCCACACGGCGCTCTGTAAAACTGAAACAATGGTGCATTAGAATAATTTTTGTTATTCTACTGTATACATAGCTGCAGCTATAGATAATAACGCGATAGCGTTAAAGAGCTTGTTTGGCAGAAATTCCGGCGTCGGCGTCGTTAGTTCTGAGCGAAAAATCATCATCTTACGCGTGAACGCATAATTCAGAACAATTCAAATAAAACAAATAATAAAAGACGTGGCTGATCTCCCTATATGGGAATCGGTATAACACGAAAGTGAAACGCATCTTCACAGACGAAGTGGAGCGCTTATTTTACACCGTTTCAGCAGCAGCGAAAAATTACAAAGTCAGCAGCTTAGGAACGGCAAGCAGCTCGAAAGTTGCAGCACACACCTCAAGCAGAAAGCACGCACGACATTAACATACACAAGACAAGCGTGGACTATCAACTGTCACAGCTCGACACTTAAAGCGCACCCTTCAAACAGAAAGAAAGACGCACGAAACGAGCGCACTAGTATACACAGGAGAAGCGCGAACAACTGTCACAATTCTTCCAGCGTCATGTGTCAGTGGCCACTCCTTTCGTAAACACGGCCGTGGCAGCGTGCGAAGTGACCTTCGTCCTCTCCCGAATTGCGAGTCTGATAAGGGTGGACGCAGGAAAGATCACGCTCCGTAGAGGCATCGCTTCTTGGAGACGACGACTTTTGGAGGCGGCCCAACGCGAGCCAACTGAAGTTTCGAAGCTCTGAGAGCTGCCAAACTGTTTATGGCGTATATAAATGGCGGACCGTTAGCGTATCAGGCAACGTACGCTCTATGGCATGTCCTAACTGCCGTCTGTGTAATGTGCCGGAAACGACTGAACATTGCTGCAAAGATGGCAATCTGTTTTGGAATGTCCTGCAGCGAGCACTAAAAAAAAACGTGCCATTAATTTTCACACCATGCGTTATCTTCCACCAGCATCACTTGATGAAGTGTCATATGATATGTTTTTTTTTTTCTCATGGGTATGCACAGCTTATGAAATACACGTATGCAGGGCCGCAATGCAAGCAGAACTCACTCTTTCTTCAAGCACGCACTTTATTCAAATGGTTATACGCCTCAAATACAATTACAACGACCTAGACTTTAGACCAGACCGGTACTCAATTTTGGTGAAGTGTTTGGCCTCACCCCTATCTTGTTTGTATAACACGATGTGAAGAACTCACGCTATGTTAGCCATTGAGTGTTTATTCGCAACACTTAAGCACTTATTGTCGCCATGTGATTGTTCTAGGTGAAATGGCAAAAGTACGTCACGGAAGTGACGTACTTTTGCCATTTCACCTGTTCTGACGTCACGAGACGTCAGAACATGTGAATATCATAATGGCCTCGTAGTTTAAAGCTGGTCGCCCACTAGAAGAGGCACACACGCTACTGCGCTTATTCCCTTAAGACCATGTAGTGGGTGCGTAGCAAGTTTGAAAAGGTTTCATGCATTAAGTGTTTGAAGTACGCACTAGGAACAGGATATCGCTATCCCGTTCAACTCATGAAGGCGAAGCTTTAAGGTCCCCTAATTTTTTTTTTCTGTGGAGACGTGTTTGCGTTTCACGTTACTAACGATTACTGTGAAAAAGTAATCAAGGCTAACTTTTTACACTCTCAGTACTGAGACAAATACAGCTAGGACAATGAGTGGTGGTATGGATACACTCTGCTGGTACTTTATCTATGGTTCCTCGATTGATTTATTTACAGACGGGAAGCCGAGATCGAGATGGAGGGCCAGTTCCTGGTTCGACTGGTGTACGACGACGAGATTACCTACAGCCTCGTTCTGGCGGCTGAAAAAGTGCTCGGTCAGTTATGTGAACACAACTTCGTGGAACTTCGCTTGAAGAAACATGCACACGCACACACTTGTACGCACACTTTTCGAGACCCACAGGAATGGTCCTGAATTGTACCGTCTCATTGTTAGAAAAAAACTTTGATCTTGTAAATTTTCTTCTTTACTATGCAGCTCTCTTATGTAATTAACGTGGTTGAAGAAGAGCACCTTCCTGCCTTATTTTTTTTTTTTTCAGTATAGAGGGTACCTGACATTCAGAAAGAAATGTCGCGTTTCACTGGCGTATGCTGTGGGAATGTAGAAAGATGCGATGGTGGTTGGGACCTGCTCCTCCAGGTGCCGGAACAACTCAGCTACTCACACTTTTTCAATGAGCTCAATAAATTAATTTTTGGTAATTATTAGAAAAATTTGTCCGTATCTTGAGTAAACTTGTGTTTTGATATCATATGTATCCGACATAGCTATATTGACTTGAACTAGAACCATCGCTTGATTTCTTTAAGGTCGTTTTTGTGAATATATATACTTGAATGTTGAAGTGTTCAACCGGATATGCTTCTTCGAAAGTTATGAGTGTCACTTAGTTTTCGTTCTACTGAAAAGCTAACTCGTCTAAGAAACAATGGTACTGGCTTCACACTGCGCACTGTTAATCCTGATTAGGTTGTATGGAAATCTCCACAGTGATTGGCTACCGTCTTCAACTTGCTGAAGAGAGCCAATTACGATTAGGAAATTTCATCCGCATATCTTTTTACCGCTATCAAAGTGACCGCGTAACAATGGTATGACTCGGCTAAATCGTGCTATACGTGTCCCCTAACAGGCATTGCGGCCGACGAGATTCTGGAGATGTTCGGGCGCATGTTCTTCGACTTCTGCCAGGAGTCCGGCTACGACAAGATCCTGCAGGTGCTGGGTGCGACTCCCCGGGACTTCCTGCAGAACCTGGACGCCCTGCACGACCACCTGGCCACCATCTACCCGGGCATGCGCGCACCTTCCTTCCGGTGCACCGAGAGGCCCGGGGACGGGGCGCTGCTGCTGCACTACTACTCCGAGCGGGAGGGACTCGAACCCATCGTCATCGGCATCGTCAAGGTGCGCTAGCCTCTGAAAAAGCAAAAGGAGCAACGGCGCAATGGCCTTAAAAGGGACTGCGGCGGCTGCATTTCCGATAGAAGTGGAAATGTTGTAGGCCCGTGCGCTCAGATTTGGGTGCACTTTAAAGAACCCCAGGTGGTCGAAATTTCTGGAGCCCTCCACCACGGCGTCTCTCAGAATCATATGGTGGTTTTGGGACGTTAAGCCCCACATATATATCATCTATATACCTTAAAAGGGACAGTACAAATAAAGTGGTTAGCTTTGCTTGTGCGGCTGTACTATAGTTATTCACAAATACCTTATATATATTAGAATTGTTTGTAAGAGAAAACATTCAGTCAATCTTGTTGGAGGCTGCCCGTGGCAAAGTGAGCTTACGAACGAGGAATTTAGTTCACGTGTACCAACAACTAAAAAGGAGCTCAGGCTATAATTGTTTCTCTAAACGGGTACCGGTTAATTGTAAAATAGGGCACATTATTGCGGAGGTGGCCGGCCGTATGACATCCGACCTGCAAACGAGCGAGCGTCGAACATATTTCTGAAAACGGTGGCATGTTATGCGCTTGAAGCGTGTACTTTGAGTTCTTTATCAAAGTAAAAGAACAGCTAGAAGTTTCGTTCTTATTAGCATATACCTCAAAGGCACATTTAAAGTGAAGAGCTTATTCTGAATAAATGCATACCACTAATCTACACACCCTTCTAACCTTTAAGGTTTCCTTCATATACAGACATCATGTATGTTAAGGAAGATGACCAAACCTTTGTGGGCCTCTGTTAGCTTGGCCTTATTCCGGTAAATATATTCCCATATTAGTGAGACTCGTAAGGGCGAGAGAAAAGTTTGGCCGTCTCAAAGGGCCTCCCCAATCCTGACAATCCTTCGACCACGAGGAACGCCATCATACTTCACTCTATGTGCCAATTGCTGGCGTTACAGTTTGTTCCTGGCGTTACGAGCTTGCAGGTCTCCCATGACTGCCTTCTGGCGACACAGAAATGCAGTCATTCGGTTTCGGCTCTCGTGTTACTGCAGCGAAGGCCCGCGCACGCAGTTGCAGGGGCAGGGCAACAACCACTCAAGCCCACTTCGTCTTCATTTTTTTCTCTTCTTCCCCGAAGGCCAGAAATGAGACTCGATACTCAGCGCACGCTTTCCTTTCGCGGCCGCTCCGAACGCGAAAGTGGCGCCCGTTTCTATATTCGCGCTTTGCAAACATCATTTCTCTCTGCGGCGGCGACGGCAGCCACCTTTCCAACGGTATACTGGTGTGTACATACACTGAACCGGTTTCGCCTGCTGCGTCCCTACGAAGGTCCGTGAGTAGAAACGAAAAGTAAGCAACGACCGCGGCTTCCTCTTTCATTACATGGCTGTCGGACGCCTTGAAATACACCTGTGGACACAAACACAGACACACGTAAGTGGGCACTCTCACCGCAGAACTCGAAATAAATTGCATCGTCAACTCAATTTTCTTTTGACGATCACTCGTCGGTTGTCCTGCAGCGGTATATAGCTGCGAAACATGCGCTTTGTCCCTCTGGCTTTCCCACCTCTACAGAGAAGGAGAGGGTGAAAGGTCGAGGTGTTCGTCCGGCGGCACACCTCGACTCTCATTGCGAGGGCAAATAAAACGATACATACAGGTCATACACCAGACCTAACCCGTACATGCGATTACTACGTGTCGAGACGCGGCCACAGTGACGCGTCGTTATTGCTTCTGTTATAGTTCGCCGAAATGCATGTCAGGCTGCCAAGACTCCCTTGTCTCATCAAACACAGTTTATTTCCACAAAATCTGCTAAAGAGGAAGAAGTATAGAAAAAAAACATACCTCTAATGGCAGATTTTATCTGGTTTGTTAATACGAACTCAACAAGCAAAATACATCTTGTTGTACACTGCATCAGAAAAGCTGTCATTCGATCACTCTCTCTTGATTTAAAAACCAGATCATTACCGTTTCTTTTGGCGCAATATATTCACTGTTTTGCACGATCTTAGCCCGTGCGCCTGCGTACCACGGAAGTGTTTACAAACAAGCGAAGCCACATACGTTCAAATAATAGGAAAGCACTCCTCTAATCATTCACCACTTCGACCCTTTACAGAGGTACACATATAAAGAGCAGTCCTATACACTATAGCTATAGTCTTCTCCAGCCGCGTTTTCTCATCCCCATCGTGCTGCTTTTACAGGCTTCGCGCGTATGTTCGGAAAATGCGACGACGTGATGGCGGGAGCAACACATATTTAACCTACTGTCACGGCGAAACGATCCTGCCATTGCAACGGTCCCTCCTCCGTGTGTGAGAGCAAACATTTCGCTCAACGGTTCGTCGACCTCTACAGCGCGTGGTTCCTGTTGAACGAAGGTGAAATCAGTTGCGCACACAAATTGAGTACAATAAAAAAATGTAAAAATTTTCCTCGAGGTTACATGGGATGTTTGCGGCCACCGTTCGATTTAGTAAATGATGTACTTCTTTATAACTATCTCGCTGCCCGGCCGGCTTTTGACCCTGGGGCAGCACGCGCGGAAGGTCAGCGCTTGTGATTACCGCGAAACGTGCCGCTGACAGAAATGACGGGCCCGAAACACTGTGTGATGGCCAACATCCTGCTCGTTTCATTCGGGCCCAGGATTCCAACCCTAAAAAGGAACGAAAAATGCTAGATGATGACAGGCGTGAGGCTAAAGTGAAAACAGGGTCGAAATCGTATAGCGTCGTCTGAGTTTTTTTTTCCTTGTTTCTTTTTATGACCGGTTTCTTCACGACAGCACGGTGGTGGCGAAGGGTTGATCTATAGCTGTACGTCAAGACATGGAAAATTCCGCAGGGGTGAAGCTCTCGTTACAGTGCTCGGCTGTTCACCTGAAGGTCGCGGGTTCTATCCCGGCCGTGGCGGTTGCATTCCAATGGACGTGAGATGCTATAGAGGCCCGTGTATTGTGCGTTGCTGCAGTATACACTTTAAAGACCGCCAGATGGCCGAAATTGGCGCAGTCTTCCGCAGCGGCGTATACTTCATGGTGATATCGCGGTATTCGCGCGTATTACAGCGAAAGCTGTTATGAGACTACAACAATGGTCGCGTGCAACGTAGTTGCCGCCGCCGCCGGTGTCCGTAACCACTATCGCCCAAAATTAGAGAAGCAACTAAGCAAATAAAGAAAACACCAAGGACACCACAAAATTAGCACCTGTGGCACCTGCGTGTTAGCCAAGTGTTCCTCCACTGAGCTACGCCGGTGCTTGGGACTCCTTTGCAAACTGACAAAAAAAAAAAAAAAACTCCTTTGAAACTGATACGCAGACTTCATGTCGGGAAAGGAACCACATTGATGTATGTGTACGTAATAGAGTGCTTTGGAACAGCAAAGGCACATTCAGGTGACACACAATGCGAATTGCGTAACGAGTGGGTCGTCGAAGGAGAGAAACCCGTTACAATAGCGCTAAACATAATTTTTCATAGTCATCAGCCGCAGTATATATATAAAAAATTTGCACGAAATTTCTTGCAAGTGTGTAGCGGGTACCACGCTTCTCCGAATATGGATGAAGAATGGCATAGTGCGTCCTTACTACACAAAAATTACGATGAGTTATGGCGTAGTGGGTACCCCTGCAAGTGTGTTGTAGCATTTACCCAAAGAGTATTTAAAAAAAGGCTCTGTAAGGCCGTGTGACTGTGGTGCTCGTTTCGCACAGGCGTGGGGATTTGCTCAGATAAGGTTATTAAATAATTGTTCAGCGAGCTGGGAGCGTGGGAGGAACCATTCTATTGAATGATTTTTGGGAATTAACGTCCCGAAACGCTTCAGTACGGCGTCTTTCATATGAATATGAGATACGCTGTAGTGAAGGGCTAAGACATAGAAACTAGCGATTTCACAATTCCAGCCGATCCGACGTGCTGAGTGTCAATCTGTTTTTTAAATCAAAATGAAGGGCTATCAAGAAAACGTGGCAGTACAGTCGATCAGTTTCTATCCAGGCAAAAAAATACAAGGAAAAATAACTGTTTATACAATGAAATGTCGATCAACATCGGCTAAGAAAGCGAGGCAAGACTAACTATTTAGTCGGATGCCACTTAAGAGCGTCCGGAGTGACGCCGTCACAGAAGCGCTGCTGCCGATTGACTCTGCGACTAAAGAAACAGTCCCGCTTATACACACGACAATGCAATCCGAAGGCTGGCTCGCCGGCTCATGACGTCAGTCTGAAGTACGCGCCCATTGGTGCTATTTTGTGTGCATCCGCCATTGAGGAGGAAATGTCGGGGACTTCCAAAGTTGTGGCCGACTGTAGTGAGATCTACGAATGGGTAGATATTATTTTTGAAAGCTGTGAAATGCAGAGCAATAACGAAGCAAAAGCGTCTATTCTATCATTCGGCTTTTTTATTGCTAGCTGCTTGGCCTGATATTGCAGTAGGTTCTGACAGGCGTAAGCAAATCCGAGTAGGCCGTGATTGTCTGTTTATTTGCATGAAGGGCCAGGGCAACGTCGCTCTCCTTCGCCACATGCACATACATGTTTCGTATGCACCGATGCTTAACTTGATTAGTGTTCCTCGCGCGTCAACAGCCGTTATGGCGAATAGTTCTATTCCTTCGTATTGGGGTGCATCGACGAAAAGAACGTCAGCCCTGCGTGGGCCGGTTCTCTCCCAGATTTGCCTTTGCACGAGTGACTCTCCGACTCTTGTTATAACAGAGAGGGAGGAGTGTGCTTCGGAATGGGCTCGGCCGCTTGCTTTCCTTTGCTTTTCTAGGAAGAGGGTGTGCATTTCACTGTGAAACTAGGAGGTATATGCCTGCTTCCTCGAGAATCCTGGCCTGGTCGACGCTAATATAGAGGCTTATCCAGTAAAGTGTGCCTAGATAAGCTCTAAAACGGTGTTGTATATTTCTAGCTCTATAGGCCTCTCCGAGCCGGTGGATTGCGTAATGCCAAGATGCCGCCGGTTGTGATAAGCGTGTCAAGTTTATTTTTTTTTCCGCATTAGTCAACTTGAGCTAGTGGACTGAGTAATTAACGTGGCTGATGAAGGAGGTGTCAAGGACCCTAAGCTGAATATCTTCTTCAGGTTATTTTCTGCTAGCGACCCTAGAAATGAGTCTAAGTAAGTTGTCTACCTGTGTGCCAATTTCGTTAAGCGCTTCCGAGTTACATTCAGCCTATTGGGAGTCCCAAAATTTTGACAGTGCAAGTACACTCAAGCAAGTACACCCTTGAAATGCACAAGTACTTCTTTGGACTCTGGACAAGCAAGTGCAACCTTGGAACGGGGTGTACTTGCTTTGTCAATGTTTAATGCTCACCTTAGAGTTTCCGGAGGTTCAATGTTATAGACGCCTTGCTTTTCTTGTTTGTAGAGTAAATGTTCAAAGTTTACAGGCGATAATTTGAGCCCTGTTTCAACCAGGCACTCCGCCATTAGGTCTTTGTAGATGCCTTTAAAAATTGTTCTTGGTCAGCAAGCGAATCTCTCGGGGAGCAGATTGTAATGTCATCTGCATAGATGATATGTGAGATTCCTGGGAGCACAGCATACGTTTGTTGCATAGACTGCGAATAGTTATATTGAAGGGAAAGGAGGATAACATTGACCCCTGCGGAGTGTCACAATTGCTAGTTCATATAGGTCGCACTCGAGATCGTAGCCAGTCACAGGTTCGCCTTTCTGCCTGAGAGAAAAGAGTGATTGGAGTTACAAGATTTCTCTCCTTGGTTAAAGAATCAGATTCCTCCCAGAATATGTTCATACAAAACCGTATTGAATGCCCTGGTAAGGTCAAGTGCAAGTATTTCTGTAACCTCGTGAGAGGATTGCTCAAGTATAAACCTCTGGATGAGTAGCACAGCGTCTTGTGTGAAAAGTGATTTCCTGAAGCCAATGAGGTTGTGCATAAAATGTTTGTGATTTCTATTGTGTCCTGTGATACGATTGTGTATCTCATGTTCGGCCACTTCTCCTATATGCATGATATGAGGGATATTGAGTGTAAATTATCCATGTGTGGTGGCTTTGAGGATTAACACCAGCTTGGTTGCACGTCATTCTATCGGAATTTGTCCAGTGCTACAGACCTCATTGATTTCTTCTGTAGTTACTTCAAAGACCTTATCATCAATATTGCGCAGGAGTTTGTTAGTGACTCTGTCGGGATCGAGGGCAGACCTGCCATTCAGGTTGAAAACAACGTGTCTGACTTCATACTCCATGAACGGCATGTGTAACTCCGGGCTATATAGACTTGTATACTAATAGCTTGTTCCTCACCTTGATTGACATTCTGTAAAATATAAGCTTTAAGGACAAGGTAGGGGCAAGTCAGGTTGCTAGTAGTCTGCGTCTCTATGAGACCGAGAGCAGTATCTTTATTGATAAACCTCTCTCTGTAACTTAATTAGTCTTGCTCTTCGAATGTTTATCATTAAGGAGGCTTCTCAGTATGTTCCACACACTGCCTTTCCTCAATCAAGTTTATTTAATTATTTTTACATTATATTAACTAAGCTTGGGCTCCTATATCATTTTTATTCAATATAACTCCTAACTATAGAACCAGAACCATCAATTCCGTAAAAGTTTTATTTTTAAAAGCACATTTTCTGGATATTCTAGGAATCAGTAATAAGTGCTCAGCTGGAAGTGCTTGGAAGTAAAACTGGAGTGTCACGTGCGACTATTGACCGTGAATCTTATTTCATGTTCAGGCCGTCGCGAGCAAGCTGCACCATACCGAGGTGCAAGTGGAACAGCTCCAGGGCAAGGAGGACGGGCTTGACCACGTCCAGTTCGCCATCCGGGAAACTGGTCAGCGCCCGCGCACGCCGGAGCCCGAGCTCGAGGACTTCCTGGACGCCGAGTCGCTGCAGGAGAAGAAGATCAGTCCGGCCACTTTCTGCCGTGCATTTCCTTTCCACGTCATGTTCGACCGGAACCTGAACGTCGTGCAAGCTGGCACCTCGGTCACTCGTGTGCTGCCCACACTTGCGCAGGTGGGCAACATCAGGCAAATCGTACGCGTGAGCTAGTGGGTTGAGGCAGGTGGGGGGGGGGGGGGGGGAGGGTGCCCTCTCAAGTCCCCAAATCAGCAGCAGGGGGGGGGGGGGCGCAAACTTTTCTTATACTTTCACTTAGTAGGCCCTGTCGTGTCATTGTTTACAAATCTGCATTGTCGCTACACGTTTTTGACGATAATGACATACGGGCCCCTGATGTACTCTGAGAACTGTTTACTTGGCATCTTTCACCAGGAAAACCAGGGACAAAGGCAGGCCATTCTGAGAAGGCCATCGTTACTTCATTTTCATTTTATAAACTCGAAACTGTTTTGTGCCGTGGTTCACTACAGCTGTACTTGCGTATTTCCGTCACGGATATGACGTTCTGAAATATTCACTAACAAATGGCAAATAAAAAAAAACTAGAAGAAAGTGGGCCGTCACTTAGAGTCGAACATGAGAACCCTAGCATCGCAGCGTGCGGCTCGCAGTGACTCGGCCACAAGGCGTACATTCCTCAGCATGCTAACAGCGAGCTATTTCTACACATCGTTTTCTGTTATCACTACACATCGCTTACGGTTGGCACTTCAGCATGCTCTTATCACTAGTGAGATGACAAGAAAAGCGCGCAGGGTGCAGTGTCGTCGCCCCACGCGTTGCGACAAGCGTGTGCCTCCGCAAGGCGTGGTCACTCGTTCATGCGCGCTAATCTCTTGATGGAAGCGGTTTGTACGTCTTGTGCTTTCACCACAAGTTTGCGTTGAAATTGTAGAGACCAGTCGCTCGTTGCAGCGGCCACGTTTGAAAAGGGAGCGCGTTGCTCACACACAAATAAGTAACGGCAGTGACGGTTGTTAGTTCGAGTGCGTCCTGCGTATTTGTGCGTTTGTTTCGTGCGCCCTCTATTGTGTTTGAGGAGCTTGCTTTTTAAGTGTCACGCTGAGGCAGTTGTAAGTTCACGCTCGTCCCGAGTATGTTCTTTTCGTGCGTCCACTCTGCCAGAGCAGCGCGCTGCAAGTTTCGAGATGCTTGTCTTTCTTCGCGCGACCTTACAATCTGTTGTTGTATGATTCATCCCTCCGCACTCTTGGTAAAACAATGCGCAATAGGCACTCGACTTTCGTGTTTATATCAATTTTTATGACAGAGACATCAGTCTAGTTTTTTTTTTTTAGTCGTGCATTGTAAGACAACACATGTTGTCTTTTTAACTCTACCAAACGAAGGTTGAAAAGCGGTAAACATTGCTCCCACCCCTATAGTGGAGAATCCTGCGCACGCCTTTATGGCAAACTGTTCCCTCAACAAGCTAACTTTATTACCGACACTTTTGCTGTAAAACGTACAAAATAACTCCATTCTTTTTTCTTACTTGCATAAAGAAGGGACTGGACACTTTGACGAACACGCACAGGTGATTACCCTTCGCCGCTGACAGTGCTCTAACCACCAATCAGTTCGGTTTAGAGAGAGAGAATTTATTTACAAAAAGGTAGAGAGGTTGGCCTGAGCTATAGTTTGCTCTGGCCTGCTACTTTACACTGGGAAAGGGTGACAATAATTCAGTTTACATTAATTGTAATGAAGTGACATTGGATTTAAAATTTATATCCGATATATGTTGTAACTGTAGAGATCAAAATCGGCTCTTACAAGTAGGCAACCTGGGTTGCGCATAAGTTCTAGGTGGGAAAACGCATTATTTTCATGGCTTTAAAGACACTAGAAACGAGGTATTCCTCACCCTACCATCTTGTGATATTTGAAACTAAATAGACAGAACCACGAGAAAGCGAAAGCATAAGAGGAAAAAGCTCGTTTGACGAAAGAGGTTCCCGTTTATTTAAAGGTGGATGTACGTTTTCCCATTAAATGGGCTAGATGGCCGAAATTTACGCCAATTTTAAATGGCATTTGCAATCAAATCTTTGATATCAAAGGCATGTTAAAACACGTTGCTGTGAATTGTCTCTCAATCATTGCATTGCTCTTTATGCTGACTTTCGAGTTTGGAGCCTCGCGAGAACCGATTATTTCGTAGTTACGGCAGATATTACGACGGCTTTCGCCTTTTCGGTTTTGTTATAAAACAGTAAATTTCACTGAAAAATAAAACGTGGCCAACCAGTCCGCACTCATTTCGTTATAACCGATAACACGATATATCAGTGTTCATTATAACGATGTTCAACTGTACTGGACATACAACGGCGTCACTTGCTATGACTCGCAGGAGAACAGCCGCATTTCGGATTTCATGGAGCTGGTGCGGCCTCACATGGAGCTGACTTTCGACAACATCCTGGCGCACATCAACACGGTGTACGTGCTTCGCACGCGGGCCGCGGCCGGCCAATCGGGCGAGCGCGCCACGCGCATGCGCCTCAAGGGCCAGATGCTGTACGTGCCGGAGACGGAACTCATGCTGTTCCTGTGCTCGCCGAGCGTCCTCAACCTGGACGACTTGAACCGGAGGGGCCTCTACCTCAGCGACATCCCGTTGCATGACGCCACGCGAGACCTGGTGCTCCTCTCCGAGCAGTTTGAGGCCGAGTACAAGCTGACCAAGAACCTCGAGATACTCACCGACAAGCTCCAACAGACATACAGGGAGCTCGAGGATGAGAAGAAGAAGACTGACAGGTGGGCTACGTGGTTTGTTCTGTATAGGAATACGGGCCCCATCGTGAAACAGTGAGGGGACTATTGGGTCCGCCTACACGTGCGCACTGCTTATTGCTAATTGGCAGTGTTTCCTTGCTACGGTGCCAGGCACCATGGTACACTACTACTCCGTCTTCTCCATTTGCTTCTATGGGTTGTATACCAAAAAAGGACCATGTGCCGAACACATAAGGCCTGCTTCAAGCGTTACCACGCTGCAAGGACAATGATGGTCTAAATGTTGAAGAGTATATTGTACGAGTCAATCTTCATAACTTTAGTCCAGCAGTATTCATATGTGTGGTACTGTGGAGGACATGGCTTCAACTAGTTTGTTAAGTGGTTGCTGCATCGACCTCATGGGTACTTTCCCCTGTTTTTTCTTGTTTTTACGACTGGCGCTGTCAATATCGTGCTTTCAATTCACTATAAATATATATAGTTTACGTGAACTCGCTTCGTTGTTACACATATACTCCAACTCTATGGAGCAAGAACCACACCGATATATTTCCCTTTTCAGGCTCCTATACTCCATTCTGCCGCCGTCGGTCGCCAACGAGCTCCGCCATCACCGACCCGTGGCCGCCAAGAAGTACGACTGCGTCACCATCCTCTTCAGCGGCATCGTCGGTTTCAGCGCCTACTGCGCCCAGCACTCGGACTCCAAGGGAGCCATGAAGATTGTCAAGCTCCTCAACGACATTTACACAACATTCGACGTCCTCACCGACCCCAAGAAGAATCCCAACGTGTACAAGGTGACAGATCCATTCACACAACTCGCCTATACGCTTATTGTCACGCGTAATTTGGCTACCGCATTCTCTCTGTCCTCCTCCCGAGTATACCTAAGAAGCGCATGAACAGGGTGCAAAAACATGACGTAATTATCCGTGATTTTTCGCCACATTTTAGGTATATCTGAACGTTCATTCTGAAGGCAGTTCAACTAAATCAGCATCTCAGAGCGTGAACCTACGATTTATGTTGCACAAGTTCTTCGCCGCCGTGCACGTCGTGTTTGGCGGCGGGAACGTAATAGTGGCATGTGTACGCGCAGGAGTGTTGGAATTACGCAAGGAATATACGCTATACGTGAGCTCCTCCCTCCTTAAATTTTGTCCTTGCATGAAATCGGGGTGCGAGACTTCAGACTGTACCGTGCGCCGTGTACATCCAGGTGGAGACTATTGGTGACAAATACATGGCCGTGAGCGGTCTGCCAGAGCCGTGCGAGAGCCACGCGAGGTGCATTGGCCGGCTGGCGCTGGACATCATGGACCTCTGCAAGCAGGTCAAGATGAACGACGACCAGAGCGTGGTAAGCACTGAACTGTGGCTGTAGGAGTTGCCGCGTTGAGTGTACATTTTTTAAGTCAGTCTATGAATTCTTACGATTCACGCGACCAAGTCAAATACGACATAAATCGTGACTTGCCCCGTGCAATAGTTAACGAAACGTATTTGGTCGCGCCTTCCTACAATTCATCGGAATGTTTTTAAATCGGGATTGAAGTTAGCTGAGTGTGATAAACACTGATTTGATGCCGCGCCTACGCAGCAAGTGACGATTGGCATCCACTCCGGAGAGGTGGTGACCGGAGTGATAGGGAAGAGAATGCCACGCTACTGTCTCTTCGGCAACACCGTCAACCTAACCAGCCGGACGGAGACGACGGGAGAGAAGGGCAGAATCAACGTCTCCGAAGACGCTTACAGGTGCGCGTCCAAATAAGCCTTCTTTACGCTTCTTCGCTGAGGAACTGCAGTCAGTGGGACCTGAACCTTCATGTTCACAAACTCGCCACCACCTAAAAGTATATACCAGTAACATTTTCATGTTTGCATTGTCACCAAATAGACATTGAATGGCTCCCTTATTGAAATCTATGCATGCAGCGAAAATACTTCTCTGGCGTATATGGTAGATCTTATTGCACAATTAGTCATCACCTGGGCATAGCTACACAGCTGCTAACCCTTTATCTTGCTCCATATCCTGAAGGTACTGTTCAGTGCAGGTCGTTTACCCTGGTGGTACGCATGTGAAAACTGAGTATGTTGAAAAACATTGGCGAATCATTTACTGTCGTCTATATGAATTGCCAAGTTCTAATACGCCATCGTTTTTCATTGTTATGGAGTAACCTTGTTTGATTCTTTGCACTTAATTCGTTAAGGGTATACTAACGCAATGTCTTCGAATTCTTAGAAACTCTACCACATGTTTCTCTTGTGTTAAATGATGAGACTTGGCGCTTAGGCAGCATGAATAATGGTGAATAAGATATCCTAAATTTGCTACTGTGCAATAGGAATCGACACGCCCGGCATGACAACCTTAGGGACCGCAAAAACAGAGAGAGGCCGAATGTGATGTCACCATGGATGCACTCATCTACTCAGTGACGCAGACAGAATTTTTTTTTCGGGGGGAGGGGGGCAGCACCTTGATTTGTAGTTGAAGCCGGGCAGGCAGTATTCAGTGACATATGTCTTGTATGTCATGGAGAAAAAAGGTTTCGGGGGGAGAGAGAAGCACAGGCCCGGCGTGGCACCCCCTGGATACACCACTGCATCTACTGGATATTAAAACTGATTCGGCGACGTTGATTTTCGTAGTGGAATACTTGGGGCAACGTCACGCTTGCCAGTATCTCTTTTGACTTTTAGTGGATGTATACTTTCAGTTCTCATCCAGTGTTTTTTTTTTAATTGGCCTTGTCTTACGTCTCGTGTGCAGGTGTCTCCAGCAGCCACAGAACGAAGACCCGACGTTCAAATTCGATTACCGAGGACCAGTCACGATGAAAGGCAAGAAGGAACCGATGAAAGTCTGGTTTCTGTCCAGGAACCCCGACGTCAAAGCAGCCGCGTAACGATGTGGAACTGCCACGTGACCACACTCGCAACAAGGAGCGCGACGACAGCGCCACGCCGCAGAAATATTGTGCCATGAGTCCCACCCAATTGGACTGTTTCGAAGCAGAAAATTGCAACCGACCAGTTCTCCTTCTGTCATCTCTTTGCAGCTTTAGGATCGGTGTGCTGCAGCGCTGGCTCCGTACTGTATACAACCTCTGCCTTGTTGGGGTGTGTTGATTGTCGACGCGAAAAACGGACATGAAACGTCATATATATAGCACTTGTCGGTTTATATACTACGTTTCGAGTCCCTGTTTGGCGTCGGCAATGACACCTCTCGTAAGTCATACGGTTGCAACTTGCCCAGCTTTCTGCGCTGAATTCTGAGCTGCTTTTGTTGTTGTTGTTGCTGTTGACCAGTGTTAGCTCATTGTCTTTTGTATATGGCACATCGATGGAGTAACCGTATCGGTTGAAGCACACTTATACAGCGGCCCTTGTGGAATACTCATATTCTCCCGTTTATTTCGTCCTCTGAATCGCCTTGCACACGACTAACATAGTTTCTCGCTGTACCCTTATTACTGAAAATTGCATCTTCTCCCGTCGCATCGGTAACCGACTGCTACCCTTTGATAAAAGCCGGTACGTCTTTTGTGTTCGCACGTAGAGCGCTTTCAGTGAGAGCAATACATGATCGCGGAGAAGCTTATGCGTCATTGAGACATAAAAAATTCATATTTGATCCCGTCCTGCTCAAACTTCCGACCAAGATCGTTTGTCAGTTGTGATGTGTGCTTTTCATATATTGTGAATATTGTGATCGAACAAGCAATCGAGTATTTTGATTTCGCTTGCACCCATATGATGGCTTCGCAAACCACTATTTTGTCTTTATGAGAGAGACAGAGGAGGAGGGAAGGGAGAGAAAGAGATGAATGGAGAAACTGTGGCTTCATTGTGTCGATCATTTCTATATTTTGACTAAAAGAAGAAAGCGCCTTCGCGGAGCAGATACTACGGAAAGTCCCATTTTCTGACGAAAGAAATCCATGCATGTCTCTGTGATGAGATATGGAGGAGAGTTTGAGAGCCTTGTTTTATACCCGTTTTATAAATATAAATTTACGTGAAACGAAACTGATTATTAGAAAAATATTAGGCTTTTCTTCACTTGCTTGTCTTCTCTCTCTCTCTCTCTGTGTGTGTGTGTGTGTGTGTGTGTGTGTGTGTGTGTGTGTGTGTGTGTGTGCGTGCGCGTGCGCGTGTGCGTGCGTGTGCGTGTGCGTGTGCGTGTGCGTGTGCGTGTGCGTGTGCGTGTGTGTGTGTGTGTGTGTGTGTGTGTGTGTGTGTGTGTGTGTGTGTGTGTGTGTGTGTGTGTGTGTGTGTGTGCGCGCTTGCACGCCACGAAGAACCCCTCGCTGCTTGCCGTAGATAATAAATCTCTGTTACACTTCATGTCCGGTTTGTGGCGTAACGGAACATTCATGACGTCACTATAACTGTAACCGATGCGGCTTTTGCAAACATGAAAGTGGCATCCGGTCCTACCACACCACGTAATCGGTTGTACAAGACCGCATCTGACCCATCATATCACTATGTTGTCGACAAGGCACCGCCTCTGGTAATGTAGGAGTTGAACTTAAATCGGTCGATCAGGTGCGTGCGTGCGTGTTCAATTGCCGAAATGTGGATGTCGTCAGTGCAAGCCACATGAACCGTCACTACAAGTGTTGAGAATGTCAACTTCTTATGACACGCTTCTTATTGGGGACCTGCAGGCTGAAGCTTCTTGTACGTAAATGTGCCTGGGAAAGAGAAAAGAACCTAGCTTTTTTTTTTTCTTTACATCTCCATGCATTTGTCTTTCGTTTATATCCTGCACTTGCACGCTGTGTGCAGATTAAGTTTAAAGGGCCAGTCAACAGACTCCGAAACGCGCAGGAAATGTTCGTGCATTTTTCCAACGCGTGACCGACCTCCTTCCACGCGCAGTGACGTCAACTAGGCGATCGGTGACGTTGACTTCATTACGGTTTGTTGAGACCTGGTTTAGACCAATCAACGTTCTGCGTCACGTCACCGCTAGGGTATTCTAGCCACCCTATCACCGCGTTTCGGTGCCTGTTGACTGGCCCTTCAACCAACATCAGCAGACTTTACGTAAATGAAAACAACGCCCGATTTTACTCTGTGTGCACGTTCATTTTGTAAAATTACTGCACAGCCACCCAGAACTGTACATACACTTAAATGAAAATAAACTGTTCCCAAAGTACCAGTGATTCTGTGCTGAACAGCTAAAAGAGATTGCTGAAAAGAAACTAAAAAAAATCTGTGGTAAGTAGCAGTTCATTATACCCTTCTTTAGTTGTCACGTTTATGCAACCATGAAAGCTATGCAATGCCGATTGTGTCCAAAACAGGCACAAGGAGAAAGAAAATGGAAACAAAAAGAAAAATGAGGTCTCTCCCTCACATGTGGAACTATAACGTCGAGAAATTAAGCTTCCTGAGCTCTAGAACTAAAGTCTCGAAACGGAGGGCTAAAATACCCGTGCAACTTGAAATCAAATGAGTTCTTCAATTCAAATGTCGCGCCACAATGGCGGTATAATTTCACCACGTAATCACGCTGCTTTAAAACCTAAATGTTGTAAAAGTGCTTTTAGTTATTTTATATAATTTATATTTAACTTGTTGTGGGTATTTATAAACATGCATTTTAAAACTCATTTTTAAGGCAATAGTTCGAAAAGCCCGATCGATATCGCAGCAATGTTTTGCGTCTGCTCTCAAAAATGGCCGCCGCCATGTTAACCGCGTGCGTTGTGCGCCGCAGAACCGTTTAGTTGTTTCGTTAATGCTCTTGTCGAATACCGCTGGCTGAGTTTTTCTCGCTTGCAAACATCCAGCTTGAGTAATGTAAAGGTATTGCACATTTAGTCATCGTTCATTCGCAGCAGCCACCATCATGAGTCGCATCGTAAAGGTTTTCAAGACTCTACGAAATCACTGGAAAAAGTCCACATTCGCTGCGTGTTTGTTGACTTACGGAGGATGGTACCTCAACGAAAGGCACAAGTAAGCAATGTTACGTACACTTGTTGAGCAAATTTACCGCCGATTTCACTGCAGTAACATGAAATTCTTTGCGATCATCCCTCCAGGACCACCCTGATGATGAGAGCTCTTTGCCTTCGGGCAAAGGTAGGCACCATTGCTGTTTCATGCACAATCGTAAATTGCGTGTAACTTGCGCTCTTCGTTGATTGCAGGATTATGGTGACATGCCCATTCCTGCAGGAGCTAAGCCCAGACATGTCACCGTCATAATAAACCCGACGTCCAAAGATGGGTTAGTTTGGTGTCCTTTACTAAGTTTCCGCGCCGATTTAATATTGTGTGGGCCTATGAGCGAAAAACGTGAGTCCATTTAGTGGCTACAATGTTCCAACTTCTGATATTGCGTGAATCTTAGTTCTGCAAATCGTCTCATAATTAACTATTGCTCAACTGAGCAAGACGATCTCATTTATTATTGTCAAGTACCTTAATTATTCATTCAGACATTCAGAAAAAGAAGAAAAAAAACGACAAAAAGAGGATACCGGAATGCTATGAACACAATATTGATCAGTGTGATCAAAGCGGCCTGATAAATATGAAGCAGTAAAATTGTTGCAACTTGCAAGCGGAAAAAAGTAACAGCTCAAAAAACAGACTGCTGTCAGTAAGCAGATGCCAATGGAAATCATCCAAATTGTTTTTATGTACACCCCGCTACCCATGTCATTAATATCTAAATCATGGTGCAGATATAATTCCATTTGTGTAGTAAAACTTCCCACAGCAAGCAAGAAAGAAAATTATCGCGTGCGCCACCGTCATTAGTTGCAGAACCTTAAACGAATCTTAGCCCTCTGGCAAATCACAGAGCTCGATTCAAACACTGGCTGGCATGCAGTGTTCTGATTTTATAAACTGTAGTGCTTTCATCAAATGGTGCCTATTAATATGCTTCTCATATAGTGTTGAGTAAAACTGCTTCTGTTACATCGTCTACTTGTGAACCAAGTGCACTTGTCACAATCATGTGCTTGTAAATTTCATCAAATGTAGTCAGCCATTATGTAGAATTAAAAAAAAACAGTATACATACCATTTAATATCGTGTTACATTTGCCAGCATGTCTTACATGATGCCAAACTTTGTTTTTTGGTCATTTTCAGTGCTTTGCAGGATGCAGCACAAATCTGACTCGCAGTAATATATGAGCCAGATCACAAGCTTTGCTTGACATTGACATTTGTGTTCATGGTCGTGAATGTCTCTGGTTCTAATGAACTATATAGATTATATATATAGTAGGTTAAATGTATAATATATTAAAATGTATGTTAGTGATCTGGAAGAATTTAGTAGTTGCTTCATAAACCAGACAAAAACTGTAACCTGTTTTTTTTTATTTCTATCCCTTATTCTGTAATTGCTTTATGCTCTAAGTGCTCATACTAACCATTTTGCCATTTTTCTTGCATCTACACTACCCCACCCCCACCTAGAAGTAAAAGCACTGTACAGTCAGGCCAGCCTTCTTTGAAAAACAGATGTTTATTTATTCTTTACCCAGGAAAGGAAAAATTCTTTATGAAAAGTATGCTGCCCCCCTATTGCATCTAGCTGGTATCCGCGTCAGCTGCTTTCAGGTAAATGCAGCATCTTCACTTGTGCTGTGTAAATGCACGTAGCCTTGCTCTCATTATTTGTGAATCATTACATTTAAATTATGAAGACGGAGTATGAGGGCCAAGCCAAAAGTTTGATGGAAGTGCTGGACAATACTGATGCAGTGGTCATAGCTGGTGGAGATGGCACATTACATGAGGTACGAGCCGTCTTTGTAATCAATGTACAATATTTTTTTGTTTGAGCATTAAAAAAATGTCTGATATCTGCTTTATTTTTTTTTTCTAGGCAATCACAGGTCTCATGTCACGAGATGATTTTGTGAGTTCTTCCTTCGTGTATTAGTTTGTAGAGGGAACACATGTCAGCATTGGATCTTGAAAAGCTTAATGCCAAAAGTTGATGCTGTGCTTTTTTTTTGTACGTAGTGCAGCTTTTTTATGTAGCTTGGTCACTTCAAGCTGTTCTTTACCGATTGTAGCAACCCTGTTTTGTGCAGTGTAAAATTTCTTACGTGGTTCATCATTTCACAGCGAGTTCTTGCAAATCTGAACAGTTTACGAAAACTGCAACTCACCGCCTTCAGTGCTTCTGCACTGACATATTTTCTTGCTTGATTTTTGTAATTATTGTTTTGTTACAGATGGTGAATTTGAAAGCGTAGTAGATAGGGGAAATTGGTGTAACATAATGCATAAAGAGGCTGCCTTCTTTTTCTTGCTTTCTATTTTGAGTACTCTGTTATGTGCATGTTATGTCAACTTGATTGTGCATATGCCCAACTGCTTGCACATGAATGTTTCATTGCAGGGTCAAGTAATAATGTACTAGTTAATTGAGGCAAGCTTAATTCCTATTGTATAGAGATCAAGTATGCTTTGTCTGCTCCAAATATTATTGCTGTGAAGTACTGTGATATGGTGTGCAGGCTGTTAGGCACTACGGAACGCATTAGATTTCGCAGCTAGGCATCAGCACTTCGTGCTCACAGTTTGCACTGTGGGATGTAACATTGATTTAAAGTTATTTGTTGCCAACATCAAATGTATTCGCAGGTAGTGGCATGCAAGCGATTCCCAGTGGGCGTCATTCCAGCTGGCAAGACCAACTCACTTGCCAAGCTTTTGTTCTGGGAGCCAGGCATCACTGAAGCCAGGTGACATCACTTTGCGTGTTTGAACTAAGAGCTAAACAGTTGACACAAGCATGCTCTTGACAAAATGACATAGATGTGAATTTGTACAGGTGGATTGCACTGTCTGCAATGGCTGTTGTCTCAGAACAGCTCTCGAAAATGGATGTCATAAAAGCAGAGGTCAGTTGTACTGCTTGTTTTTTTAGGGAAGCCTAACTTTCAATCGTTTTCTCCTTCTTACTATATAAGAATACCAGTTCTAATTAAGTGTTAATTTTCAAGCTTCATCTAAGGTTTCCTCTATTGTCAAGATTTTTGTATAGAGCAGCGTACATTCTTTGAAGACAGGTGCTGAGAATAATGTGAACTTGTGCCAACACGTTGTACATGAAGTACATACATAGTGTTAATGAAAGGACAAGTCTGCCATAAACATTTCAACTTATAATGTGCATAATTTGGGGCTTAATAATAATAATATCATTTACCTTGTAGCTTTCATGGAGATTGCTGTCTCAAGATTTAATTAAAGTTCTTATGAAAAAGTTTTTGTGTAATTTCTTGCATACTATATGATTCCTTATTATGATTCATGGTGTAAAATTATATGCTATGAACCATGTTGAGTATGTATGTTCACTTATGTTTGTATTAATGTACCTTTCAACCTTGCAAGGCAAATTAAAGGGGCCCTGAAACACTTTTTCAAGTAACCACAAAATGAATTCACTGGAAAAGCTTATTGCCTCACGAATTCAACGCCACAGAATATTTAAGAATCCATTCAGTGCGAATGGAGTTACAAAGGTTTGTCACATGCTGCAATTACATCCTCTCTTCTCACGTCCCGATGAAAGCGTTGGAATCTAAGCAGGAAGGTATGGAAGGGCCACAGAAAAACGTCACATGCACCTCATGGCCTTGAGCACTTTTTTTTTTTTCGAATGTGCCGCTTTTTCGGTGTGATCGCGCGCGCACACGTGGACAAGTCGCGGCCTCCTGCGACAATTTCTGTTACAAGCGAGCGCGCCACATTCAAATCAGCCAATGGCTCATAGATGGGTAATTTATGTGGTATTTTTGGGCATATTCTGCCATTTGTCGACAGCAGAGAAAGCAATTTTTAGCTGACTTTGACACTTAATTGTGAATTCCAGGCCACGTTTTCTGCTATAATATTTGGCTCTCGTGTTGTCCGGAGCCTCTACTACTGATCGGCAGCATTTTCTGATCATGCTCAAAAAGAGTTGCAGGGCCCCTTTAAGTTAACATCTGGTCACATTTTTTATAACCTTTCATTTGATGTTACTTTACATCACAGTTTACAATCGCATACTTCCAGGGGTTGTTAATTTATATTATACTTTTTGATTCGCAGTCGTTCATTGCCTTCACAATATGTGAAAGAACAAACTGCACACAACAGTGGCATAGCTAGGAGGGTTGGGTGAGGTTCACGCAAGGCATGAATTCCCTAAATGAGAGCTGCACAGTGACCATGTTTGAAGTTACCTCAACCCTGCATAGTGGTATAAGAACAAAAAAGTTATTGAAATAAACACTAATGCAATTACCTACTGATACTCCGTGAATAAGTTCAGCATTTTCTGGCGTTACCGCAGAGGTTTGGGCACCATTTCGAAGCTCATTCAGAGTTCAGCTGAACATGAAGAGATACTTGTAAGATTGAAATGTGCATTGAAATTCTGTAGTAATGAGATAGTCATTAGTTCTTGTCTATTACTGGAGTCCTTTTCGTGCTCATTTACCTGTAGATCATTGTTTCATTCACGAAGATTTTCACTCGACACATTTGCTCTTTATTGCATGTTTGCAGCTTGAAAGTGAAGAAGGCGGGGAAAAGGAAGTGAAAACCGTTTACTCCCTTGGACAAATAGAGGAAGGCGCGTACCACAACCTGCTCACCACGATACCCAAGTATGTTCGTTGTGTAACCCCCGTTAACTGGACAACCGGATGTGTTGGTTGAAGATGATTCGAAGTGAAAGGCATGAAGATGATGGCGGACGAGGGAGAGTTAGATGCACATACAGGGTACCACTTCAAGCAGTGTTTATTCTGGAGAAAACTGGTACTATTTATACAGTTGGTGCTGTCACATTTCATGGGTGTGCTGTCGCATTCAGAAAAAACAGCTCTTAACATTGGCTAAACTTAGCAATGCTCGAATGATATGCTCAAATGGCATTGCGATAATGCTAGAAATGACAGAGAAGGCTAAATGGCCCTCCATTGCCGAGATTACATGTGTTAACTCGGTTTTCACGCCTGCTCTCGAATCCCAAGGAGTCGTGATAGGTTGGCAAGACTATCAACGGAGACAAAAATGATTGAAGAAAGTGAGTGCTGCATGAGTATGGCTTTCATATTGCAAAAAGGGCAGTTTTTTTTCTTCAGCAAGTGTGCCGTCCCCACTCGAACAGATTAACCAGGAGCCGTGTTTGCTTTTCAAGTGCCGCCAACGGAAGTGGGAGGGACGCTTAAACCCCAAATAGGGGCTACTTCCACGTCTTGAAACCCCTTTTTCTTTTGTTATGGCCACTTTAAACGGGCACCGCAAACGACTTTCAGAGCGTCATTGGTCATCTTCTCTGTCTGCTCACGGAGAGAGTGAAAGCACCGGTCTTCAACGGAAGAAGAAATGCCAGGCGGCGGTCAGACTCACCCTACCAGCCCGAGCAACAGCACCGCTCTTTTACGGGGACTTACTGAGTGCTCGTGAATTTTTGTTAAGATGTGACCCCAATTCTTGTTAATTGAAGTCAATTTTGTTTAAATGATCACAATTGTTCGACTGTTAACTGGCTGGATAGCAGGCGCTTTGACCCGTCAAATGCGAGCTGCGAGACCACCATAGCGAGAGTTGTTATGAAATAACAACAAGGGCTGTTTTCGGTGTCATTATTGTCCACCGTCATCGGTGGTGTCCAAAACTGCTATCACACGAAATAAGAAAAAAAAAATACAGGATTCTGCAAACTAAGCATCACTCAATACGATTTGCATAATGAGTAGGTCATCGAATGATTTCAACCCTTTACGAGGGTCTCAGCCAAAACTATTCGTTGTTATCAGCCACCCCACTCACCAACTGCACATAATGGCTTGAAAATGCATAGTAGGTACCTGGATTCTCAGCATAATAACAAATAGTGGCGGAGTTAGTGCTATCCAGCTTGACTAAAATTATGATATATGTAGTACCGGGTACCTTGCAACTGTAGCACTTATAATGTAGCCCCAAGAGGGTCCTACAACAGGTCTTAGAAAGTCCGCTATTCCATCTTTGACTGTGACTTAGCTGCGCTTTGTATGAAAGCCTGGCGTTTTCTTTAGTGAAACTCTGCTCCGATGAAATGTGAAAGTGCTGTTTTATAAGTAGCAGCTGTTTTTCCCAGAATAAGCGTTGTTGCAAAAAGCGCCATGTGTGCGTGTCTTTCATCATTGTTCATGGTCATCGTCGTGCCTTTAAACATGAACCTTCATTAAGTGCTGTTATAAAATGCAGCCATCTTTTGATAGCGTAGATTCAAAACGTTTATTACTCCACTTCAAGTGAAATAGACTTGACCACTTTTATTGTGACAAAATATGCTGACAATGCATCTTGACACCAATTAATAATTAACTAGCTTTGCTCTGCTACTAGTACTGTCAACGATGCTGGTATAATTGTACACGCAAACTTAGTACTAATCCTAACTTGACAAGGCTGGGCATACTGTGAAAATAATCGAAGAGAGAAAAATGAGAGGTGGAAAAAAGTGAAGTCTTGGTCTTTTTCGTTTTTCAGTCCCCATTGCTTTTGCCCTCTACCTAGCATATCAGCAATGAACCTAATGATCTACATCAAGCTGTCATTCCTAGTTCTCAGTTCACTAGCGTGAACTATGGTTTTGTGCTATGGTGTGAACTACAGTATTCTAAAGAAATTTCTCTGTCCCTTTATGAATCAGAATCAAACAGGCTCACTCTCGTAAGAAATGCAAATGCGTTATCTGCCGTTGTGGGTTTTAAACCGGTGGGATCCGAGATGGTCTCAGTTGTTCAGGGGCTCTAGTTGCGAAGTTGTACATTTATCATTATAAGTTGGTAAAGTTTCAAGCATTTAGTATACCGAAGAACGTCCCATAGTCAAGAGACCGCATCGGGACCTCCTGTACAAAGACAAATAGGGTAGGAAAACACTTAAAGGCAACAGTAGCAAAAGATAGGCGAGTGAAAAACAATAGCAGAACAATAAACAAGTGATTGCATGAAATGGCATGGTTTTAACATCGCTAAAAATTGTATGATAAAAAATAATAGAAAAAGCAAGCGAACAGCAGTTAGAAAACCTTCATTTATGATACACTCTGAACAACAAAGCATGCAATAAATCAAACAAACATTACTTCTGGTTAGTCTGCGGGAAGTACGTTTTTAGCTTTGATAAAACGATGTAATGATCTTGTTTTCATGATGAGCGGAAGATTGTTCCATGATGAAGTGGAAGTGAATGTTATGGTTTGCTCACCATAATTAGAACACGAAGAAATGGACTTACCTTTTGGATGTATGGGTTATGAGGCTGTAGGGGGTTGTGTAGAATGAACCGTGATTTTCTGGCATAGTTCATGTTTCTGTTCAAGATATTGTTACGCCCAAAGCAGAGATTTGATTAAACAATGCTTCGATTAGATTACAAGTGCCCCACAAAGCAAAGCTACTCAGACTTCCACATTCTTCTTCTGGCTCGTACATTATATAAATTTCCTCCATCACAAGGCAAATGCACTGCACACATTAATCAGCATATTGTTGTCTGAAGGCTTTCATTTGTGTCATATGCATGACATATGTCTTTGCAGGGTGTGGTCCGTTAACATTGAGAGATGCTATTTGATCGTCAACCTCTCTGAGATGGTCAAGAATGAAAATATATTGGGGAAAGAGTTTTTGTCTCTAGCCATGGTTGCATGCTGAATTCCATTGCAGGCTATGCAATACTACGTCATCGCGCAGACTAGCCACCCGATAATACAATCATGCCTTAGATAAAATCTTTTTATTCACTGACAGTCATTACAAGCTGCCTCTAGGTGACTTTATTGCTTTGCAAGAAAAGGTATGTAAGTATTTGCAGTATAACAAGAACCGGTTCGCCTTTTCTGACATAGAAGTTGTTCAGTTTCATTGCGATATTTAAAATACTTCTCTTATAGTACCGCTTATGTGCTGTATTTGAACAAGACAGACACAAATTCATTTTATATGCAAAGCATTTCTTGGCGAACTTCGGCGGCTTTGAGCGTATCTATCTATCTGTCTGTCTGTCTGTCTGTCTGTCTGTCTGTCTGTCTGTCTGTCTGTCTGTCTGTCTGTCTGTCTGTCTGTCTGTCTCTGTCTGTCTGTCTGTCTGTCTGTCTCATCTATCTATCTAGCTGCCTACGACTTTTAGCTCTCCTGGCCGCTTGGATAATGGTATCGATACCTCACTTAGTATGATATAAAATGACTGTATGACGAACATAACTGACTTGTCATTACATGAAAATTATGACATGTATGTCATAAATGTCATGATTTACATGTCATGGTCTTGCTGCTCTTGCGATGGTTTCATTCACATGATATATTACAAAACTGATGTGGTATGACATGACTTCATGGTGAACACAAGCAACAGACCGTAACATCAAAAGCATGACATGTGTGTCATGAAACAATGTGAGTACGTGCCACACTCACGATATGCTCGTGGCCGTTTCGCTATCTTTGCATATATCGAATTTGATATTACGGGACGTGAATGAATGACGAAGGTATGTGAATGGTGCAAGCATAATAATCATGAGATGGGTGTCATGTAAAAACATTAATACAAGCCACGCTCAAGGCGCCAATACACTTCGACATGAGCCGGTGCGCGTGCGCGTCAGCGTTCGTTTTATCGCGTCACGTCGGGGTTGCCACGCCAGGCACTGATATCTCTCTAGTATATATAGATCAGTGGATCTGCCCACTGGCGTTCATTGCGGATCTGCATGGCATATGCTCTCAGACGCCAGCTGCGTTGCTTTAATGCATGCGCGTTTGAGTGCACACGGCGTCCCTCCGTCACGAAGAGAAGCAGACGCGGTGCTGTCTATGTAAGGTGGTCGGTGCGAACTGCAGCATGTCGCATTTCGAGCCGGTTGCCACCGGGCCGCGCCGTCGAATGCTGGTCGTGCCGCACCTGGCGTCACACTACAGAGTGCTCGCGTTTTGCTAGCGTGGTGTCGCTGTGCCCAGCCTGCGCGTGCGTCAGCAATGCGTCGGAATATATTGGGCTCTTCATGACATGCTCGCTGTCATTGCGCTAGCTCCACATGTACCAAATTTGGTATCATGGGAAGTGAATAGACGAAGGTAAATGACACGTCCAAACCTGATAATCATAGTATGCATTTCATGTAAAACATGACTACATGCTGTGCTCATAGTGTTCTTGCGGCCGTTTCACTAGTTCCACATATACGAAATTTCGTATTATGTGATCTGAATGGACGATGAATGTAAATGAGACATCCAAATATGATAATCATGATATGGATTTTATGTAAAACATGACTACATGCTATGCTCATAGCACGCTCACGGCCGTTTTGTTAGCTCCATATATGACATGAAAGTCATGTACGGCATAATTTATCTCCACCTCTTAGCGCTGTGCTGATTTTAAAGGGACTTATCACCCTTACTCATTCATGCTTTGCATATCATCTATTCCCACTGTACATAGGATCTGACAATTTGTTTCTTTCTGTTTTTTAGGTATTGGTACTTTGGTCCACTAAAGGCAAGAGCTGCACTATTCTTCGGAGCCCTCAAGGTAATCCTTTTTGCAGTAAAATGGTTTGAAATTCTGTCATTCTGGGCTATTTCATCGTTCTTGCTGGAATGCTTGTGTATGATAAAAAAAATTTTTAATTTCTTATGGCAGCTGAAAAGAGATAAGTTAAGACTACATTATCTGATTGTGTTCTCTAAATCTTGGCTAGATAAGTCTGTTAATGAATAGATTTTTGCTAGTACATAAAAAAGAATGTGAAGGCGGGGATTGTTTCCTCTCTAAAATTTGTGCATTGACTGTTCGTGATGTATGTACATTTTCAGGTGACAGTGTTAAAGAGCTTGTTTTGCAGAAATTCTGGTGTTGGTGATTGTGAGTAAAAAAGTGTCTTGTCTGTGACCAAAAAATTGATAAATATGCAAATAAAATGAATAATATAACTTTGAAACTTTGCTCTGAGTGAGAATCGAAACCAGCACATCTTGGTGGCTAGCAGGTGTTCTACCATAAAACCACGCCATAGCTTGAAACTGAGTCGTAAAAAAACAATATGAATGTCATTTAGTAGAAGGATTCTCCTTAATGAATGTAATATTGCGTGACACAAGTGTAAAATTAAACCAGACATCAGTTGTCTAACGAGTGGGTGTATATAAGGCCCACCCATTACAAAGGGCTTAAATATTGTTTTTTTCATTGCCTTGCGGACACGTAGCGGACCCTTCACTGATTTTCAAAAAAGAACAGTTATGGCGTAGTCGAAACGTAACAACTGTGCTTGTCGCAGACATTTCTAGAATAGGTTGAAACAGCCAAGGTTGCGCGCACAGTCATTCGTTTTCTTGTTGCACAGTTGAGGCGTACACCGAGCACCTAAGGCAAGCTATCAGTTGAGAAGGCAATGGGCATGAAGTCAAATACCCTGTTGGGTTCTACTCTAAAAGGTGAAGGTCAAGCATTCATCATGTTTTTTTTTAGCTATTTTACAGAAGCAATGCAAATCACAGTGAAACTTCACGTGAACGAACTTCAAGGGACCTCAGAAACAAGCTTTAATGTGGCCCTGCAACACTTCTTCAGCATTGCGAAAAAACAAGCCAACCGGTATTCGAGGATCCCAACAACACATAAGCCATACAGTACAGCGCAGCACGCGGCTTGAAATTTATAACTAATTCTCAAAGTCAGTTAAAAATCGTTCCCTCTTCTGTCTACAAATGATGCCATATGCGCTAATAACCGTGCATATGCTCTGATAACCACTAATAATTTACTGCGTACAAGCTCTCATGAACCTTCTCCGGCACAAGTCTGCAGAGCCGAAAATGTCTTCAGTTTCTCCAAGAGCATTAGTGTTTCTGGGCAAAAGATTTAGTTTTTCATCAAGAAACACAGGCTGCCATTTGGCACTACGATAACCAGCACATGGTTGTAGCACTACGGCTGCAGCCGTGACTTCGTCTGGCTTCTAAAGTATGTAGGCAGCAATATTTTGCAATTTCATAAGTACGCTTATGTACAGTGATTTGTGCTGTGGTGGGGTCTCATACCTAAAATTATGTACAGCTTTATTAAGGAAGACTAGATCAGAAACTCCATAATATCTATTTAAAAAAATATGTTATGGTTATGGCAGGATGCACGCAACTGTTGAACTGACTCCAGAGCGATGCTGTGCCATGATGTGATTGTCTGTGTGAAAAGCTAATCAAAATACTAATTCACATGATTTTATGTTTTGTGAATGTCCACATCATCTGAAAATATATTAAATATATTTTTGAAGAAATATTCACTTTTTCTGATAAGCTGCATTTTAAAATAAATCACATAAGGTCTTCATAGACCGTATGTGATTTACGCGTCTGTGATTCACCTGTGTTTACGTGTTTGCATCTGTATGGCTGTATCAAATTGATATCCTGTTGCTCTACATTTTCATACCGATAATTTACTGTATTGTTAATAGACCTTACTCTTTTTTCTCTCCCTTTCAGGGTGTTCCAGAAACAACTGTTGCTAGGCTATCCTACAGTGAACCGTGCAGCGGTTGCTCATGGTGTTTCAACCAAAATGCGTTGGGGGAAGTAAAACCACCTCCGAAACGTCGCTGGTGGCATTCGCTGATCCACAGAGCTGCTCCACAGAGTAAGTTTACCGGAGCTTAAAAAATTTGATTTGAGATACTCGGCGTACATGACTGCAACCTTGTTTGTGGAACTTGGCGATCCAATGAGTTCTACTTATCTCTAAAAGCAATGTGAAACCACTACGAAAAAACATTCATGCATTGTGCTAGAGTAAAGTGCACAAATTTTGAAAAACTACGCTCTCTGAGTCAATCCACTCAGTATAACAATCTGCACACTCTGTCACTTCACTCTGAATACTCCGTGCAATCTGCTGCGCAGTCCTTACTGAAGGAGCATCAAAGCGTATTTTCTAGGTTGTAGTTCTAAAAACATGCAAAAGCATTTGTGAAGGTTGTCAAATGCTTACAGCACATTTTATTATGATGGTACAGTTTATTTTAAAATGTGAAACCACGCAACTTTCAGTATTGCCAGTATGGTGCCGTTTATCATTTAAAAATAAGCAAGAGTTCTGCATAGTGTTCTACCGAAGGTATGAGCTTTAAGCCAAATTATTTTGTCAGCTCTTGTTATTCGTATTAAATGTTAATTAGCATTGAAGCTAGCAATGCTTTTGTTGCATTTTGTTGCTTTGTAATGATAGTACGCACAGTAAAAAGAAAAGAGCCACTTGTAAAGAAAGATGAAATCTGGTTGGCACGAAAAGATACGGTTGCTGTAACCTTGTCACACTGATGTCTGTAATCTGTGTAACAGGTGAGTTTGAGGCTCGCTGCAGCAAGGTCATCAACGAGAACTGCGGGTCTTGGCAGGAAGAAGTCACGGAGCACAGCCAGCTCGACGTTTCAACGTACACACAAGAGGTGACATGGCCACTTGTGTCACATCCACATCTAAGTTAATCTCGCAAGCAGCAAAATGAAGTAGGTAACAGTTATGCTATAAGGCAGAAGCTTCAGTGTTGTAACTGCTGCACAGAAGCCCTGGACGCAAGAACCCCAATGTTGGGCCAGAAACAAGTTTTATTTTAGCTGTACTGATTATAGCTTTCCCATAACTATACTCGGTGACAACTTTTCTTGGAGCTGAAAGAAAAGCTACGAAGGCGAAGAGAGAGAGAGAGAAGAAACTTTATTCAAGTGTCCCTGCTGGGGTCAAAGGTGGCGGGGGGCCGGGAGACGGGCCCCTCTGTAACCCCCTTCCTCAGGCGGCGGCCAGGCCTTGAATCCTGGCGGCGTCTTCGGCCAGCCAGACAGCCCAGAGCTGGTCCTCCAGGCACGTGCCTAGCAGCAAAGCCTCCTACTGCTCGGCCGTGGTGATTGTGAATGTAGGGTTCGTGCTGTGTTTAACTGAGTGAGTAGCTTCAGTGCAGGCCTATATAATATGGTCGAGCTCAGCGTTAGGTGCACCGCACGTTTTGCATTGTGGTGTGTGAATAGCGGGGTAAATACGGCTGTACAGTGACGGACAGGGGAAAGTGCGTGTCTGTAATAGACGCCAGGTAGAGGACTGCTGCTTACTAAGGCACTTGTCTGGTGGTGGGTATTTCAATCAATCATCAATCAATCAGTTTATTATTATGTCATGTCATAAAAGGATGTTACAGGGAGTAAAATATACAGACGAGGGTCCCAAAGTACAAGACTGCAATGGGACCCTCGGTGATGATTACAAATAATAAAAGCACAAGCAGCTGTTAGAATCGTGGAAACAAAAATATATAAAGCAGAATGAAAACAAAAAGGCACGGAATCAAAAAAACAAATAATACAGCATAAAACAACACAAAGAAGATAGATCAACTATTTAACAGGTACTCTTTTAATGAGTTTTTAAATGAAAGTATATAAACTTTGCATTTTAGCGAAGTGGGCAAATTATTCCATATGGTGATGGTACAGAAGAGAGAAGATGATTTACCATAGTTAGTACGAACCTTAGGAAGTAAAAAGTTATTATTAGCCGCAAACCTGGTTGTGTTAGTATTAACTAACATCTTAGGATCAATGAAATTAGCAGAAAGTTGATTTCTTATTTGTTTATGCAGAAACATAATTAGATTAAACCTGAATAGATAGCTAACAGTTAATATTTTATTGCTTTGAAGAAGGGGAGCGGCGCTACTGTCGCGAGAACAGTTAAAAATAGCGCGAATAGCTCGATTTTGTAATTGTTGTACGGATGAAACATGACACTGGTAAGTATTTCCCCATGATGCGATGCCATAAGTGATATGAGAATGAATGAATACAAAGTAAAGTGAAAGGAGTGCTTTATGAGAGAAGTATGAGCGAGCTTTGAGTAATGCGCGAATACCGAATGCTGCCGTTTTTCTAATGTGAGCAATATGGAGAGTGAAGTTAAGGTTAGCGTATGAAGGGGAACGCCAAGAAAAGATACACTGTCGCTGATATTAATCACATGAGAGTCAACTGTAAGCTGTGGTGAAGAAGTTAACTTGCGTTGAGCTGATCTAAAAACCATAAACTTAGATCTATTTGGATTAATAATTAAGAAATTTTCCTGGCACCATTTTGACACGCTACAAAGTACAGCATTTAATTTGTTAGTGACGTCAATACATCTATCAGCAATGGAAATGGTAGTATCATCAGCATATAAAACGCAGTGAGCCATGTGTATAATGTCAGGAAGGTCATTATTGTAAAGTAAAAAAAGTAACGGACCCAGTCATGACTCTTGAGGAACCCCTTGATTTATTGTTTTAGTAGAAGAAAATGAGCCCGATATGTAAACAGTATGCTTTCTGTTAAGGAGGTAACTGTTTAAAAATTTGAGGGATGGACCTGTAATTCTGTATGATTCGAGTTTCTTCGATAATATGACATGATTAATGGTATCGAATGCCTTTGTGAAGTCTAGGAAAACTGACCCTACTACAAATCCTGCGTCTATGGAGTGTTTGATGAAGTCTGATAGGGAAAGAATAGCAAGGTTAGTAGAACTTCCAGCGCGAAAGCCAAATTGACAGGGCTTCAGTATATTAAATTTATTAAGGTATTTGTTTAGCCGAGTTATTACAGTTTTTCGATGACTTTGCTCAGGGAAGAAAGAATACAGATGGGGCGATAGTTAGAAATAGATTGTTTGTCGCCCTTTTTAAAGATCGGAAGGACTTTAGCTTTTTTTAGAGAAGTAGGGAAACTGCCATGCTTGAACGCAAGGTTTATAATTATAGAAAGTGGTTCAGAAATAATGTCTACTGCAAGTTTTAAGTGTCGTGCTGAGATTTTATCTATACCAGGGCCGGTTTCTTTGAGACTTTTGATTGCTGTAGAAACATCATCAGGGCTCACGGGGAAAAGAAAAAAGAATGATTAGAACGTTGTAGATTACAAGAACTGCTATGTTTTTCACAAAAAATTTCGAAAAAATAATTACTGAAAGCATCAGCAACACTTTCAGGGTTATCATGTGTAACGCCTTTAAATATGACTTTCTGCAAAGGTGAACTATGTATTGATCGATTTAGAAAATCGTTTAAGAGCTGCCATTGTCTTTTAGAGTTGTTTTCACTAGATATTTGGTCATCATAATATTTTTTCTTGGCATTTTTCAAGAGACACAAAAGAACATTCGAGTATCTTTTATAGCGTGAAGCTAAAGCAGTGTTAAATGGTTGTTTTTTTGCTTTTCTGTACAGGTTCTCTTTTTTACGCATACTTTTTAGCAGTCGCTCAGATAACCATGGGTTCTTAGGATATTTGTACCTCTTTTTACATTTGACTGTATTAGTACATTCTTCTACGGCTTTAAGGAAAAGGGAAGAAAACTTGTTGAATGCCTGGTTTACATTGCATAAGGACGTAACACTAGACCAATTTAAGCCTGACCTTGCGGTAATACATTAGGATTTCTCCAAAGGTAACCATTCTGTCCCTCGCATTGTCGCAAAACGAGGAGACCATCATCTCTCGCTCAGCCGCGTCAGGTCGCGAGGGCTGGTGCTCTGTTGGATGATGCGCCTGGTGGACGAGAGCTCGGGCGGCATCATGAGCATGTTCGTTCCCTGTGAGCCCCGAGTGGCCCAGAGTCCAGATGATCTTAACGCGGCGACGACGTAACAGAGGTGTACTTGTGAGAATTCGAAGCGCCGGTTGGGAGATCAAACTTTTGGTAAAGTTACGGATGGCAGTCTTGGAGTCGCTGATGATGCAGGATGCTTGGGTTGAAGCGCAGGCGAGAGCGATGGCTGCTTCTTCGCCTTCTTCTGGTTTGTTTGGGCGAATGGTGGCAGTTGCGGTAATTATGTACTGCGGCCCAGTGGTGACAGCGAGGGCCACGGCCCGATGCGTAGGATATTCCGCTGCATCTACATATGCCACGTACGAGGCTTTTGCGTAACACTTGCCTAATTGCTTGGCGCGGTCTACTTGTCCACGTTATATTCAGGGTGCGCATTGCGTGGTATGGGGGGAATCACGAAAGTGTCGCGAATTTCCGAAGGAATCGGGAGTTTCTGGCCAAACTGGGAGACGTAAGGTATGCCGAGTGCGCACATGAGATGGCGTCCTGTAGTAGTTTGGCCTAATCGTTCGTAGTGCGATATACGTTGGGCTTCAATGAATTTGTCTATAGTATTGTGAAGTCCTAGGTCATTGAGTTTCGCATTGGACGTAGACATGGGGAGATGCAGCGTGCACTTGTAGCAGCACCTGATCATTATGTTTAGTTTTTTTTTGTCGGTGAGCGTAAGTTTCATAAATGGAGCAACGTAAAGGATTCTGCTTATGGAGAAGACGGTCACCAGTCGTATGAGATTGGCCTCTTTCATGCCGTGCTGTTTATTGGCGATGCGGGAGATGAGCCTAGTAGTCTGATAGACATGATGGTGTAGTAGTTGCATTGTTTCCGAATTGCCGCCGTTCTGCTGAATGCGGAAGCCCAATACGCGAATGGTAGGGACTGTTCGTATAGGGTGATGTTGCACATGCAGTTTTATCGTGGGAAGGTCTCTGTTGTAGGGAGATCTAGGTCGATAGACGAGTAACTCTGACTTTTGGGGCGAGCAGGACAATCCTCGTTGTTCAGCGTAAGTTTTGATTCTATCAATTGCCAATTGAAGTGCATCTTGTATCTCTCCGTCACTACCTCTGGCAATCCACAAGGTGATATCGTCCGCGTGTATGCTGTGGTGGAGGTGGGGGATATCTCCTAGAAGTGGCGGAAGGTGAAGCATGGCCAGGTTGAAAAGGACTATAGAGAGGACCGACCCCTGTGGTGTCCCTTTCCCACCGAGAGTGATGGAAGGTGCAGGCATATCGTTGACCAAGAGTGTGGCTGTCCTTTCCGTTGAAAAGTTGCGGATGTAGCGGTAGGTACGGGCGCCTACGTTGAGTGTGGCGAGGGCGGCAAGGATGGATGAATGTAGCACGTTGTCAAATGCCTTGGTAAGGTCTAGCCCCAGAATAGCACTTGTCCCATACTGAGAGCCGTCTTCACCGTCGATAATGTGACTCTTCAGTTGCAGCCTCACGTCTTGTGTCGAAAGTTTAGGGCGGAATCCAAACATTGTATGCTGGTAGAGGGCATGTTCTTCCATGTACCTTTGTAGGAGAGTGTGAATAACATGCTCGAGTACCCTGCCGACAGAAGATGTGAGAGATATCAGCCGAAGGTTCTCGATAGTGAGTGGTTTTCCTGGTTTAGGTATCAGAATGACTGTGGCGGTTTTCCATGTTGTTGGTATTTCACCCGACTCCCAAACCATTTGCAGATAAGATGTGAGCGTTTCAAGTGATTCTTCGTCAAGGTTTCCTAAGATTTTATTGGTAATTTTATCCGGGCTAGGCGCTGATTGGGGTCTCAGTTGTGAAACTGCGGACCTCCTATCCGCTTTTGTAATCTGGGAATCGAGGGCTGGATTATCCACCCCATTTTAGCATGGGAGATCAACCGAAGTAGCACTGAAAATGTACCGACTAGATAGGTCTTGGATAATGTCTTCATCGGTACCTGGATAATTGTGCAGAGCGGTGATTAATGAGCGGCACTGAGCAGTTTTTGTCGATGTTGGTTCTATCATACGACGAAAAATATTCCACGTTTTGGGCATGTTAGGTAAGCGTTTCATAACGTTACAAAGCTGATGCCAGTTCTGGCGGGAGAGTTGAAGAGCGTAATCTTCGATTTGACGCGTTAATATAGCAATGCGTTTGTGTAATGAGCGGTTCAATTTGTTGGAGTTATAGCGCTTGCGCAGACCAGCGAAGGCTGCCCACATGGGCAGCAGCTTGGTGTCTACCGTGTCGCCTACGGCGTCTTCTGGGGGAGTCTTGGTAGCACGCTTAACGTCTCGTAGTAAGGAAGCTGTCCATTGGTCGATCGAGGTGGCAGATTCTGGAGATGCCGTTGCCCGCGATTCGCGGAAGATCTCCAGTCAACGAGGGCAGGCTGTTTGGATTTCCTGCGCTGCGGGCCAGCCTTGACAATTGTTTGTATTATGTAGTGGTGGCTGCCTAGATGTTCATGAAGGTTGGACCACTCTGCATGCGTAATGTTCACAGTGAAAGTGAGGTCAGGAGTGGTGTCTCTGGCAACGCTGTTGCCCAACCGCGTAGGGTATGCCGGGTCTGTGATAAGGGTGTAGCCAAGATTGTGGGTGTCTTGCCACAGCATTCGCCCTTTTCTGGTGTCGTGAATGTAGCCCCAAGCGGGTGAGGGAGCGTTAAAATCCCCTACCACGAGGAGGGGGGAAATTCATGCCAACTTCTTGATATAAGACAGGAGCTTGTGAAAGCGTTGTGGTTGTCGTGGGCTGCTGTAAACATTGACCAAGAACATACTGGTGGATGTCCGGCGAGATGAAGAGAGGATTTTCAATATAATGTGTGGCACTGTATCAGAGAGCGAGGGTGTTGAATTACAGGGATATTTCGTTTCACGAGAGTGGTAAGGACTTAGTGACTGTCAGGGGCTTGAGCAGCCGTAAAAGGGGTATCCGACCAGCTTAGCCTGTCCGCCCGATTCCTGTAAAGCAATAATATCTGGTGTATCTGTTTCCTTGAGTGTCGGTAGAAAATGTTGTAGCACGCTCCTCTTACGGCGGTAGCTACGGCAGTTCCACTTCCAGAGGCTGTACTGAGTGTGTGGATTACTCACGGCCATCTTGGTTAATGCGGCCATAAGGTTTCTGATGCGAGTGTGAGCGAGAGCGATGTGTATACCGCTCAAACTCCGTGACTCTGCTATTGTAGCTGGCAAGAAGACTCGAAAGTGTGGCTTCAAGGTTGTTCTGGATAATTGTCGCTCGGGCTTCCAGCTTTTTGTCGAGCATTAAGGTGAGTTGGTGCTTTAACTTTGCTGTGAGGATTGAATCAAGGGATCGCTCTAGCGTTTGCACGATGGTCTGCTCAAGCATTATCGGTAACTGCCGTTCAAGTACGGTTTGAATCGTCTCGTGGAGTTGCTGCTGCGGTACAGATTCTACAGGCAAAATGGGCATTGAGGCGGTAGGTGGTTGCGACGATGGTGTAACTGGTTCTTCTGTGTCTGGAGCCTTTCGTTTAGAGGGTAGGGGGGTGGGGGCGGTATTGGCGTGGAGGTCAGCAGAGTGAAGCAAAGAAGAGGACGGAGGTTGCTGAGCAAGTTGTTTCCGAAGAGCAGCGTTTTGAACGCGAAGTTCTTGTACTAACGTGCGGAGTGAATGCAGCTCTAGTGTGATAGTACTTAACATGGTTTCCTTATTAGATGTGGTCGTGTGTGTACTTGTAGGCGCTGTATTATGTATAGGAGCAGGTTGGGAGGCAATGCTAGCCCAGCTTACCGTAGGGGTGGCGAGGGTGCGACCGGGTTGCCGCTGCTGAAGGGGGGACCATCCGAAGCCTCGGGCACCGCAGATCTTAATAGGAGATCCTGGGGCTGATTCATGCACCGCTGCTTTGATCGGCTGCGTGAGCCACGACGCTTCGAGGTCGGACTGGGACTGCAGGAGCGGGTGTCGCTAGGCTTCACCTCTTGGCGTTCCGGATGAGGATCTTGCGTGGAAATCATGGTTGATAGGTACCGTTGTTGCTGGAACTTAGCTGTTTCTTGGCAACGATATATGAGAAGGCAAGGTGTCTGGTAGCGTTGAGGGCAGGTTTTGTCACCTGTCTGGTGGGCTTGGTCGCACAGAAGACACTCAAGGGTGCATGGATGAGCAGTAGCAGGGTTGGCTATGCCACACAGCGTGCAAATTATGGCATTTGGTTTGGGGCAGACATCCGAGCGGTGGCCGACTGCCCCGCATTTGTCGCAGACTTCGGTGCGCTTCTTATGTTGGTAACATTTGTATTCGGCTCCTCGATAGTAGACATTGAAAGGGACTTGGTCGCCATCGAATACAATGAGTACCGTGTTTGTCTTTCCCATTCGGCGAGCTTGTAGTATCGTGGGGTTGCGGTCATTAACAAGACTTGCTGAGATGTCTTCAGGAGAGTTGTAGGGGGGAATATTGAGGATCACTCCCTCTTCTGTGTTCTCAGGGGAAGCAACGTAGGCTCGAACATCATAGGTTTCAGTTTCCACCTGTAGTTTGGAAACCCGACTGTAGATTTCTGCGTTGGATAGATGAGGTGTGCTTACTACGATGAGATTAGCTTCAATGCATGTGCGGTAAATGTCCTTTTTGGGTAGCGTTGCGTGCAGATCCACTTCGCGTAGAATAGCATCCCGCAGTTGTGCTTCCCCCACTTTGGAGAGATTGAGACCATCCCTCGGGCGAATCACAACTTTTACGTGATCATCTGGCAGAGGCGGTTGCCTGGGTTTGTGAGGGAGACTCTGGGCAGATCCGTTCAGCATTGGGGTATCGACGCGCTTCCTTGGCCAGTTGGCGATGCCAGAGCGTTCGATGCATGCTTGCGTTGCTTGTTTCGGTGGCTAGAGATCCATCCGGCTTCGAGGGTGGCGCCTTCAGGGGCGATCTCAGTTCCTTCGACTTCGACCACTTCTATGGTTAACACTGCTGCGATTTCTGAAGGTAGGGCTCAATGTGGGCGAGTCAGATGGAGTTTGGTGGCACCGGCGTCGCGGCGAGAAGCAGCTGTTGTGGCAGCCACCACGCCAGCGTCGGGTGGCGCGAGCAGTGCGAGTTCGTCGTTGCGGTTAGCGTCTCTATCACCTGGGTCAGGAAAAGCTCGCTCACCAAAAATCTTCCGTGCACTGTAGCCGGGGACTAGTTGTATTGGGTGCTGGGGTGGTTCCAGTCGTCGACAAGGGCGATTGAAGATATCCAAAAGTGGGGTTCAACGCTGCCTCTTCCACATGCAGGAGCGAGTGGGTGTGCTGCTGCTCTGCATCATGTCTAAGGCGTCTCACATCTCTACAAAGGCTAAGCTTTTTCCAGCGTCTCGTAACACTGTGGAAAGTGACAGGAGCGCACCATCGGTGTTTCATGTAGATGCAGACGCCACTTAACGTTTGAGATACATGTAAAAAGCCGGGACTTTCTCGTGTGTTCAAAAACGCGAAGTCAGAACAAATAAATTTAAATAAATACGAATATCTTATTGGTGCGAGCTGCATCCTGCTTCAAATAGCTCTACGCTGAAAATAAAGGGGGAATTTTTATATTTCACGTTGAAAATATGGGCGCTATTGTGGAACTACATTCACTGGCATAAGGATGCACGCAATTTGGCTCGGTAGCCTTTGCTTCAATGCCAAGAAAAGTTGTCGCCAAGTGTAATCGATAATAGCTTGTCCAGTAATTGCCTACTTTAAAATCTTCCGCTTCGTGTTACTCAGTAACTTTCAGGACACCTTGACTAAGAACTTCATATTTCGGTGCACGTCAAAGAACCACAGGTGGTCGAAATTTTCGGAGCCCTCCACTCAACATCTCTCATAATCATATGGTAGTTTTGGGACTTTAAATCCCTCATATCAATCATTGACTAAGAACTCGTATAAGAAAAGGAACTTGCTCAACAGAGTAAATTTGATCAGCTTTAGTGTATTTGCTTATTCTGCTCCTGCCTTTCATAAGTACTACAAGACACATATGCCAACAACGTTACAGCTGTTCTCTAATGCACCAATCCAAGACTTTGTTGTTGCATCTTGCACCTTTTCAGGATCTTCGCGCGCTGCAATTGAAGGCCAGTCCGCCTCTCTCTGGAAGGTACCAACTGTTTTCTGAATGGTAGGTTGTTCTCTGCAAGTTCTTTGTGCCTTGAAATGTCTCTGCAATTAAGTTGAAAAAGCCTCGTGATGCTGCCATTATGATCACTAGTGGTTATCACACCTCGCTTTAAAACATCGCGCTTTTATTAAGTCGTTGCCATCTTATCACAAGCATGGCAGGGGGCAACAGAAATTTGGGTGGCCAACGGGCTCAAGAAGCTTGTGGGGTCGCAGCTTGCTTAGGACCGGGGTGATTTGAGAAATATAGGAGAGATTTTTGCCCAGCTGTGGGTGTAATATAGCTGTTGCTGATAATGATGGTGAACTTTACACAAATCCCTAGCTGCCTAAGGTCCTGCTTTCGTGGCACATTATCTCCATCACACTTTTTGGTGCGTTTGAGTAGTGCACGCACTTGGTGCATGTGTTTGGTTTTTGTAGTTCACCAATGAAAACCCGTTTTGTTTATGAGATGAATGCAAATTGTTTAAATCTCTTCCATTTAAATCTCTTCCACACAAGTTTTCGATCATGGCAGTCAGAGTCGCAATTCAGTGCCTTGTGTGTTATAACAACTAGTGTTTAATTATTATGAGTGCTAAAAAAAGGGTGTTTCGCTGTCGTCACGTGCAGAAAAAAGAGCTGTAAAAATTATATTAACTGGGCAGCTAGCTTAACATACCAAAATGGTAAAAATTCAGGCCTGTTGGTTCATGTTATTCTGGTTGAACAACACAGGAAGAATGACAACAAAATGATAGACAACATTGGCAAAGGTGTTGTTTTGCTTCATCCTCTCTGTTGTGCCTCATGCATTATGAAACCTGAATCTTGACCTGAAGAGACCCCTTCGCCATTGAAAGTTCGTGTTAAAAGCTATGTTAAAGCAGTAGAACCTGTTATGACACATAGGGAGCCCACTTGGGGTTTGAAAACCAAGCATGTGTTGTGGCTCTCTTTTATCATTGAGAGATTTTGTTATGAGTGCAATGTCTAGTCTGAAGCAACACCAACTAGGTTATATTGTTACACTAGCTTAAAACTGTTTCCTTTATCTTTCTCCACAAAGTCTCCAGAGGCATTTAGGTAAGACAAGTGAAGTACGTTCACACCAACACCAAATCTTGACCCGCGAAGCCATTGTGAACTACTCCAGTGAATCACAGGTAGGTGCTAAAGGGGTTGTTGTTGCCACCATCTGAACGCAAAAAACAAAATTCACTGACCTATTTTATCACCTGTAAAGTATGCATTTATGCGAATAAAAGCAACTCAGTTCACTTCAGAGAATTTCACCTTGTTTATGTACTTTGTTGTCCGGCATAGTAATGCTTCTTGTTGTAATAGTAAGGGCAAGGTCACATGCTTGATCTTATTGGAAAGAAAAGAGATGCAAGAGTGCTAGTGCGCTTAAATTTAGCTGCGCATCATAAAATGCCAAATAGTCAAAATTATTCTGTTCGCGACCAATACGGCTGGCTTCATAATCAGATTGTGATGTTAGCATGGAAAACTTCTCAATTTGTTTAAATGGAGGTTCATGCATTCTGTCAGGGCTTTATTACTTTATAACTTCTTCTCTTATCGCAATGCCAGGCTGTAACCTCATGTAATTACTACGTAATGAATGAGCTTGGTGTGAATATCCAGGCCAACAGTAGCAGAAAGTTGCTTTACTGTACATCTGTTAGTTCCAGTAGTTTGCTTGAATGTACTGTATCAATGAAAAAATATTGACCTAAGTGACCTGCTGCCGGAACGGCAAGGTTGCAATGCGTGGCACTGCGTTTTCTTGACCATATTGAGAGTGCCAAGCACATTCTGTTTACCAAAGCAGGGGTGTACAGAGGAAAGCACTCCAACAACCAGCTTTTTTTTTTGGAGAAACTGTGATTAAGATAACGTTGCTCACAACTTTAGTAATGAGAAAAACACAGAAAAGAATATTATGTGCATAGCCACATTTACCGATAAACAAGGAACAAGTGTTTCTCTCAGATGTGAGCTTTAGATTGAGTCAAAAACAAGATGGGCTGCTTTTTGCTGGTCACCCTTATTCTGAAAAAATGGAATGTGCTTGGCAATCTTATTATCGGCGTGCTCGGGAAAAATGCAGCGCCGCGTGTTGCGATTTCCGTTAAGACTGTACGTGTGTTAGTTCATGCAGGTAGGACATAATAAAGATTGTGCATAGTAATTGAGAAAAACCAGAAATATGTTTTCTTTCCACTGTGCTACAACTGTCATGTGTAGGTTAGCTATTAACTTGGGCACATCAATAAAGGCATGCTAATTACACTTTAATTTTAACATTTCAAACACTCTGTCAAGATGTGTCCCTCATCTGAAATAATACTTTTGTTGCAGCCTTTATATGAAGACAATCTTGTTGGTTTTAGTACTCCGAAAAATTCAGGGGCTATTCAGTGAGGGACCGAAATGATAGTCATGGTAATATAGTTTCTACATGATTCAGTCTGTTGAGGGCACTGTTGCTAAAGCAGTTATTTCTCATTACTGTGCTTTTGTAACGCACCACTAAACAACTATGGGACTCCCCGTAGTTTAAATGTAAGGTATAGATAAACTGAAGCCACAAGGTTTATTTAGCCAACCCATGATCTAGGCTAATCACCAAGGTTCTTAGGAGCAGAAAAAGTTGTGCAGACATGTTCTTATGATTTTCATAGTATTAGTGTCTGTTGCAGTCACATTGAGTTACTTCATTTTTCTCGCGCGATATTTGTGTTCTTTTAAAACATTTTTAATTGCACTGACATGCACAGAATGAGGGACGTGTGCGGTTATGGACAAATAAAATGCAAGCAAGCGATTACCAAGTTTGAATGCTTCCACAAGCAATAAACCAAGATTTTCTGTGTCCCACACTAAGTGCAGAAGAAGAAGAACAAGTATATTATCTATAATGACATTACAAAACAGACCATAGGCCATAGAGTTCTAAGCACACTTGCAATACATTTCTTGAACGTATTAGCTCAGAAGCAAGTGCGTATTGTTCTGCTTAGAGGTCTGCAATGTATTCGAGCATTTGTGCAATAACTTAATTAATATTCTCGCTTCTTTCACAGCCTGGCAGTCCAGAGAGCAAGAAGACTGTGTCCATAGACTCTGTTGAGTACAAGGCAGATCGTGTGCACCTGAAGCTCGTACCTAGTATTTTGAATGTGTACCGACACAAAGATAGCTAACAGATGGGGCATATTGTCTGAGCTCTGCTCATGTGTCATTTTATTACACTTGATGGCAGTGCAGTGTATTTATAAATACTATCCACTTGTTGTTACTGACGGCGTAGGGGTCATTTCGTGAGGCTTTATATGAAAGAAGTGTAACATAAATGCACCGCACTATTGACAATGTGTTCGCTTGTTTTTCCTGCAGGAAAACGTCTTGGTAGGTAACTACAATTCTCAGTAGGCCACAGGCATTTTTGTAAACAATTAGAGTGCTTATTATTCATGTTTGTGCTTCTTTAAACCTCAATGTAACAGTGCTACGTAGTGCATTATTGTACAAGCTATTGTGCAAGGAAAATTTCATTGGAGACTATTGTGTGAAGTTTTACAGGCAAAAGTAAATAAACACAAACAGCACATCTTGCTTGCTCTAACTTGTTTGCATTTTGTACTTGGGAAGTCTTTCATCTTCCACAGCTCTGGGGCATGCTTGTCGCAGCTCGAAAGGTGGGCCTTAGAGAAGCAGTGAGAACGCGTAGTGTAAAAGAACCAGACAAATGAGTGCAGACAGAGCATAACGAGATGGTTTAAGTGCATGTTTCCTGAGTTCTTTTGATGAAATATATAAATCCATATGTTTCAAAACAGACTATAACAAGAAAATCAATGAACATTTAAAATGATAAACAGTGTTGTAGCATGGGAATGCACTGATTTTTGTGGAATTGATGAGAAAGTAAATATTTTTATATACCAAGGTGTTACCATAACAACAGTAGTGGTAGCAGGGCCACCAGGACTCGTCCTGTTGGGTCTAAGGAGCTAGGGAGTATATTCACTTTTGTAGTTTTTACTATGTGTCATACGTACAGTTATGACTATCATCATCCAGCAAGGGCCATCTCTTCCTCCTCTTCATCATCTTCTTGTGCTTCACGACCAGATGTGCACCGAGAGATGCCTGGTGTGCGAGGGAATGAATAGAAAGAGGGAGGGCACAAGAAAGAAATAGACGCAATTTGTTGCCAAATAAACTTTTCTGGCTTAGATGGTGGTTCGAAGTCACGTAGCCACGATCCAAATGCCAGTGTCTTAGCCACTCGTTTATTCATGCACGCACGCAGAGAAGAGCTTTGCACGGTATAGTTCAGCTAGTTTAGTGAGGGTGAGAAGGAAAGTTGTAGGGGTTAGGAGAAGGGAAATGTTCACCCTTACTCTCAGAAAGTAGGGAAGCTAGGGTAGCCCACTGGGAGAGGCATGTCATCGCCATAATATTGTTTTTGGATCCGTTTTAATCTCCCTTGCTTATGGGAGAGAAGGGGGCCTGTGGAAATACTTCCCCCCAAATGCAAAACATTGAGCACGCCTGTGAATACGAGTATACCGCTGCACCTCAGAACCACTCTTTACAATGACAAGCGATCGCAGATGGCCCATAGCATCGGTGTGTAACGCACGTACGAAGCATTCGAGCCATATACATAGCCTGGTGTGCCACCCCCTGTCTACCAGCGGCGTAGCCAGAGAATGGCACGCCAGGCCTGTGCCCTCCTCCCCTCCGAGTTTTGCTTCACCATGACGTACAGAACCGAAAATGACCATTTGCCTGCCCGGCCCCAAGTTCAGGTCAAGGAAGGCCGCCCCCCTCCCACCGAAAAAAAATTCTGCCAATGACCCTGCTCCGTGCCGCCTAAATGGGACAACGCAACTCCCGCAACGTGGCGCTGATGTCGCACGTGTAGTATTCCATGGTTCGTTGTCTACGCCAACCCGTCGGGACTCGATGCACGAGGAGCCGAACGTGTGTGTCCACGTGCTGCAGGTTAGCGCTAGACCATACGGCGAGTCCAGGCCGTATATGCACAGTCGCGTATCTTTTTTCGCGAGCATATATCGTGGCCCTGTAGAGATAAGCGGTTGACGTGGTCGTGGAAAGCGTTATCGGCCGATTCCATTCAGCATTGTTTCAGTCATGAGGGTTGCGGGCAGCAACATTCCGGAGCTGACGGTTTTTCTCCGTCCGCCACGCGCTGGCCACATGTCGCTCCGTATACACATGCCCCCCATAGATTGTGCTGGAGAAAAGTCAGCGCTGGTCGAGGGTAGTAACATAGGCAAAAGAAAGATAATTTAAATCTAGGGTGACGTTAATGTACGTAGTGGAACAGAGAACTAACGTATAAACACCGGACTAGACGAGCAATTGCAGACGCGTTATCTACCGAACACATGTAATGCTGTCTACGGGTACGGATATATGGTTAACTTTCTCTCTTAGACCGCTATTGTCGTATTATTATAATTTTTTTAGTTGCAAAAGTGGCATAGTGTTTCGGTATGTAATAACGTGTTAGTCGAGCGGGCACTTTTGTGGCGCGAAATACAAAAAGTAAGGCAAACAGTTCGTCCGCGAAATCGTGCAATTTCAATCCGAAATATCTGCCGATTGCAATAAGGGTATTGTCAGAACTGCTGCACTATTGCAATCTTTACTCTTCTTTTTTTTTTTCATTACATTTGCAAAGGGACCATTCATGCATACATATGTACAGTCGTCATACGCGTAGAGCTATGCTCAGATACGAGAGTCGGTCCACGACACGATCGAGAGGTGTAAATGCCGAGCTAGCTTGTTACGGTATGCAATTAAAGCAGTCAATAGCCGCGATCTCGCATTGTGGCGGCGCTTGACCTGCACGTGGATCCAGTGCTGACCTGTAATGTAAGAAAGAAAAGCACAGTACGCCGTGCATGCAGACTAATTATCGCGTTTTAATTTATTCGCAGTATGCGCAAATAGTAGCACTAGCCCGTTCGTCCTAATCGAGGAGTCAACTTCGTGCCGCAAATATTGCGAGGTTATGCCGCGTTATGTCTTGAAACTTGAGGCCAGCGCGTCGGCAAACTTGGCTACCGTGCAGTGTAGCATTCCTATTTTCAGTTGCGTCATATGGCACCAGTGCACGAAAGAAGTCAGGGTTGTCGTTGGGTGGATTTTAAAAAGCGCCAGAAGTTTCAGGACTCAAGCCCAAAAGTAGGCAAAGTAGCCATGCCATTTAATACTATCGCCATATTTGTAGCCAAATAAAAGCGGAGTTATGAGCATAGTGAACTACTGATGAATAAATAGAATCATAGAATTAGAAGCTTTAAAGTATATGGCAAGAAAATATCCATGGCGCTAACTGAAAATTTTCGCTGGCAAACGGACCGAAAGGTAACCAATGTGTCACAAAGTAGCCACCAACGGCAACCCTGAAATATGGCACCATACCGGAAAGAAGCAATGACAACGTAGTAACTAGAAATCGCAGGACAATATGATATGTGGGGTTTAACGTCCCAAAACCACCATATGATTATGAGAGACGCCGTGGCGGAGGGCTCCGGAAATTTCGACCGCCTGGGGTTCTTTAACGTGCACCTAAATCTGCATGAGCACACGGGCCTACAGCGAAAATGCAGCCGCCGCAGCCGGGATTCGATCCCGTGACTTGCGGGTCAGCAGCCGAGTACCTTAGCCACTATAGACCACCGTGGCTGGGCAAATCGCAGGACAAAAAAAAAAAAAAACACGCGTGCTCTTCAACAGGGACACTGTTGCGCCGTATATTTGCGATTTCTCCGTTTTCAGCTCTGGCTGAGTTAGCAGGGTGTTATTGTACGCGGCGCTGGTGTAGGGTTTGCGGTTATGGTGCCCGGCAGCTAACCCGAATGTCGTGGGGTCGACCCCGGCCGCTGTGGTCGCAATTATATAGAGGTAAATAAATTTATTCTTCTCAGAAAGAACAAAGTGTCCATGACTTCATTACTGAGAAGGTAGGCGACTGTTTGTGGTTTCACTGAACCAAATTTAGTAATGTATAAGTATTTATTTATTCTTATGCGCATTTTTTTCAAAAAATGATGTTTTTTGTTCCTTTTCATGAATTGTACGTACCCCTGAGCATAGTTTTCTTTATGCACGTTAGAATTTCTGTTTGCATGTACAAACAATTCATGTTGTGCATATGAAAGTATATTAAGATATATTAGCAATGTCTTCAGAACGAACAATACGACACATCTTCTCTGTATCCATGATTTTTTTCAGAAATAAAATTCTCTTAAACAAGGTAAAATGCTAGAGAGCCGTGTATTGCGCAGTGCCATTGCACGCTAAGGAACAGCGGACACTCAAATTTCCGTAGTCCTCCGCTACGGCGTCCCTCATATTGATGTCGGGATGTGGAACGCGAATCCACAACAGTTATTATTATTTCGGCGGGCTGCTGTGCGGCTCGATCGTCTGATTGATACACAATATCGCCATAACAGAATTTGATCGCTGAATTTGTTGATGTCCAGAACAGCAGGCCAGAGGCCCTCTCCATGGAAGGTTATGGCAATAACGGTGCTTCGCCACTAAGCGTCCGGACGCGGGCTTGATGACGAGCAGCTGCGGCCGCATGTCGACGGGGACGAAATGCAGGAACACCCGCGAAGTCAGATTTTGGGTCCATGTATAAGAGCTCCGGCCACGTGGTCAAAATCAATCCTGAGCAACCCTCGACTTCACCTGTCCCTGCTTTCTCTTACCACGTGCCATGATATCAATCAATCAATTTTCATGATTACGAACGCGTGTAGGAGGGCTGCGCTTTTAGGCACCCGTTCTGAGTGGTGCCTTAGTTTTTTGGCTGCACGGCGCTGGCGTAACCGATGGAGGGAACGAGGACGAAAGAGAGCAACCGCGGACTGTCGATATCACAAGCAGCTCGCTGCTAATTTCTCTTACTTCATCCGTTACGCAGGCTGACCCCTCGTTCCGAGTTGCAGGACTATCACGTGCACTGCGGCTGGCTTCTCTCGTCGTAATGGGGCTGTCGGCGTTTCGCTTGGTTCGTGACGCCTGCAATGCACAGTGGTGTGCGAACGGGGCGGCAAGGGAGAGGCCGCCCCTCTAGTCACCCAAGGGGCGAATTCAGACCCATATATTGACTTAATAGGGAAGGGACGCACCACAATAAATCTTTCATCCACCTCCCCCCTCCCCTCCACACCCACACACACACGCACGCACCCTGATGAAGTTCCGGAAACCCTGCGCGTGGCTGTGGTGTGAACGATCAGCGCTGGCAGTTTTAGCGGCAATATGTAGCGAATGTTACATTACTTTAAGCGATAGCCATTATTACCGATAGCCAGAACTTCAAGCAAAGCGCTGCCCCAACATGAAGCTGACCTCAGGATTCCCATTAGGCAGTGTCGCAATCATCGGCGTTCTTTTAGTTTCTGGTATTCAGAAAAGTCGCTGGCAACCCTTCGCCGGACACACGTGTGCCTGGCTTCAGCCGTTGTCACGCTGTCACTGTTTCTGAATCTGGGCAAATTTTCTTCTTTTTTTTTCTCTTTCTCTAGTGCGTTTCGATGAAGCAGCTGCGCGACGCGCGTGTTC